TTGGAAAATGTAACCCTAAACCCTAACATCGTCTTCTTCGTCAGCACGCGCAGCACCTTGTTCAGGTTTTGGGAGGGTACGAGGCATGACTAGCGGGAATTGCTTTAGGTTTGGGAAGCCTGCGGACCACACTCCAGGGGGGGGGTGTGCAGGAATCCTTATGCCGCCCAGGCAAGTGTGGCGTCGGCTTTCCACCCCTGTTCTTGGGGTTGCGGACTCTGTTGGGTTTGGAGTCTATAGGGTTTATTTAGGGTTGGTTCCCGGGACCTACTCTGCGCGTAAAGCCCCAACGCAGACCGACGCGTTCGACTGTCTTGGTGCGGCACCTCGTCAAGCGGAGTCAAGCGTCTGTTCCTGCAAGCCGCAAGCCCTCAATCGATGGGTATGTCCCACAAATTCCACACATGCAGGGGTCGCCCTAGCATAAGAGTATTCTTCAGAACCCCCAGAAGGTGTATTACGAATTCTTTCGAAGCCCCCAAACTAAGCTCCTTCTTGGTTTGGAGTGTTTTGCGTTTAGCGTTTAGGGTCTTAGGAAGCCCGAAGTAGAACAACGGTAAAAATCTCGGGCCCAAACTGAATGGAGCAGTGGATTGGCTGCAGAATTGCAGTGCTAGGGCTGCTAGGGTTCAGGGCTGGTGGATTCTGACTCAGGCACGCGGAGGCGTTGACTTGTGCGCACGCAGGTGCTGTTTAGGGCTTCTGGGTTCAGAGGCTGGAAGGGCCAACCAGGGTTCACTGCATGCGGTCAGGGCTCACAATTCAGCAGTCCGAAGTACAAAGTCAAAAACAGACACCAAGGCAGACGGAATGCGACAAAACCCATGATGACAAAGCCTTTCAACCTCTAAGCCGCACACCGCAAGCCCTAATCCTCCCCAAAACCGCAGCCGCTTTCAAGAGTATACCTCAGAGCCTACAGGCCCTACTTAGGCAATCTGCTGCCCAACATCACTAGAGTTTAGGGTTTAGGCTTAGGGTTTAGGTATAGGGTATAGGGTATAGGGTATAGGGTATAGGGTATAGGGTATAGGGTATAGGGTTTAGGGTTTAGGGGTGTACTTGCTCAGGCTTCCGGGTTTAGGGCTCAAGGCATTGGTAGACTTTGGCCTGAACATGGCCAGAAACCCGAACCTTTCATAAGCCCCTTCACCGCAGGATTCTGGCGCCTCCAACACTCCGCTCTCCAACCAACTCTCTCGCGGCTCAGGCACGGGGTAGCCTGCTCTTCAGAGCTGATGGGCTTGGGCGTTTTTTGGATTTTGGATGCCAAGGTTTAGAGTGTTTTAAAAAGAGTTTGTGCGTTAGATGTGGCTTCAACCTGTAGTCATGGGGAGTAAGGGTGTAGGGCTTAGGGTTTAGGGTTTAGGGTTTAGGGGTGCGAGGGGCATTAAGGGTTCGTTCGAAGAGAATGGGGGACCTTGTGTTGGACAACCCGCATTTCCTCTATTTCTGGTCGCGAGGATCGTACAGTTGGGCATCCGAGTGCAGGACTTGGGCCTTCAATTGAACTCTGAACATTCACTAAGCCGTAACACCCAAAGCCCTTCGATGCTAGGTACCAGCTACAACTACAACACTGCCGGCAAGAACTGCAATAACAACTACTGCTTCAAACTTCTGCTACAACAACAACTACGAGGACCACGGCTAGAACCACCATGACCAGAAGGACTGCTACTTGAGGTGCTATTACCAGTAATACTGTGTAGCACTAGCGCCGGTGCTCGTACTACAGGGTTTAGGATTACATAAGGCTTAAGGTGCTAACTGGGTTTGGGCTCTAAACATTTTTCAGTCCTAAACCCTATAAAACCCAACGATGGACGAAGGCTCCCCGGCACCCGATGAAAACAAAACTGAGGGAGGCTATTTCCAACCTAAGAAGGTACCAGTGGTATCAGGTTTGGGGGTTTTGATATGAGTGAGGGAGGGGGAAAGGATCAGGGTTTTGGGGTCCTTCGCGGTTATGACTCTGCGAGACGACAACTCCACGTAACCCCAGACCTGAACCATGGCTGACTTCAAAATGCTAGGTCCGACATCAAAAGGGCCCCAAAGAAGGCTGCAGCTGCAAGCAAGGTGCACCCTAAAACTTAAGAAATGTTCCGCAGCTCCATGCCCTAAATGTGCCTGCCCGAGGTCTGCCGTTCGACACGCCAGCGGCAGTTGCAGCGGTAAGCAGGCAAAACCTAGGGCCAACATCAAAAGGAACAGATCTCTGTCAGGGTGGAAAACCCTTAGCCCTACACCACTGCACAACGCCTCGAAGCTTGCCGTCTGGACTTTGCGTGATTGATGCTCGGCCCTGTTCAAACTTGCAAATCGTAAGCCTGTAGTATGCCACAAATGCCACAAAGGGCCTGATCAAGTGACACAAGTGCTGCACACTAGAATGCCAGCTGCGAAGTACAGGTCACCGGATTCATTCCGTCTGTCCCAACATGCAAGATGCCAACTCAAGCAGCAACATTCCTGGTAGGCTGATGCGGAAGCTGTTTTGCTTGCTGCCTGCGAAACGCTCTGGCTGTCAGGCCGCTAGTGCTAGCTGCGCAGGAGGGGGGGGCAATGATGCAAGCGTTACGGCCCCGAAATTCCTGCTCCTTAGAACATCCTAACCCTAAACCCTGAACCCTAAACCAAGCTGAAACTACCTGTTCTTGCGCCAGATCTCCCTCCCTGCCCCAGGCTGCCACAGGTGGACGGATTATATTCCAGCCTGTAAAAAGGGGCCCCTGGGCTTTCGGGAGCTTTCGGGAGGCCAAGAGGGCCTTCAGGAGGCCAAGAGGTCCAGGATTTGGGGAAGCTGCTGAGGTGACCGAGCGGCCCAGGGTTTAGGGTTTAGGGTTTAGGGTTTAGGGTTTAGGGTTTAGGGTTTAGGGTTTAGGGTTTAGGGTTTAGGGTTTAGGGTTTAGGGTTTAGGGTTTAGGGTTTAGGGTTGCTCCTACTCCTGGTGCATATAAGAGATATGAACTCAGTCGCTTGGCGACTGGCCGAGGTGCTAGGCCTTGTTGTACTTTGGGAAACAGACTACTCCAGAGTCCCGTGTCTTACGCCGCCAGCAGTGAAGCCCAAACCTTTTAAACCCCGAGCCCTAAGCCTCGAAAGAATTCGTGCGTGAGGTGGTGGTGAAGGAGAGGGCGGTGAGGCACCGAGTGGAAGGAAGGCCTATGACATGTTTCTCGGTCCTTAGCTTCAGCTGTGCGGCGCGACGATGTGTGGTCCCTGGTGCTCCCTCATGCAAGGGCATGATTGCCACATGCTGCAGAATCGGCAGCGCCCGCTTCTCAAGATCACTGGAACAACAAACTGCATCGACCCCTAAGGCAAAGATGAGTCAATCTGTAATACCGAGGTGGGGAGTAGTTCGCGAAGCTCGGCGGCCCCATTACGAAGAGAAAACGCTCATCATTTATTCGAGGAGACTAGGCATCGAAGGTTCTTCACGAAGGTACACCCTAATTAAACTCCAAACTTGCAATGTTCCGAACCTCCGGGAGCTGGACATCAGACGTCACCGAACCCAACTTGACTGTTTAAGCTCCTAGAAAGCCAAGTGTAAGCCTTTGAGCTTGGCTAGATACTTCCAAGCATAACCCAGCATAGACCTAGCTGCATCCAGAATGCTGTAGCTTCTGACATCATCCAGGTCGCCCCACCCATCCGTTCAGTCTAATTGCACCACATGCTCGACAGTAGGAATCTTTATTGCTAAGGCTTTTTGTCTTCATTGACCACGACTCGCAGACGCTCTGCCAAGATTGCAGATGATGCAGCGCGGCGAAGCTCCGGCAGCTATACAGGTGTGTGGCCCCTCCGCATCTCTGGTGGGCTCCAAACTTGGGAAACGTGTCTTTCGCCTCCTCAGAGCCGAAACGTGGAAGGATAGAGAAGCGGATCCCCATGTGATCTTGCGGTGATTAGAACAGCGCAGTTATAACACAACAAAAATCTGGGATCGCAAGGTATCATCACCCCCCCCCCCCCCCCCCCCAACCTTCCCCAGTGACTCCGGGGGCATGGGTCTCGTGCCGATGGTTGCGTTCAAAGGCGCCCCACCAACTAGTGCCGAGACACCTTGCAAGTTGAAGAGTGGGTTTGGGTTGCGGGTTGCTGTAGGTAAAGGGGTTAGGGTTTAAAGGGTTTAGGGTTTAGGATTTCAGGAGTCTCTAAGCTTGCGTTTCTTCTTGCCATGGCAGGCCCTGGCTGAAGGACGTGCATTGAAGTGCAGAGCCACATCTTGTTGACTTCTCTTGCACGCGGACATCCAAACACCTTTTGCAGGTATATATACGTGCACAGAAGCATATCCCCCCAAACAGTGTGCCAACGGACTCTGGGGTTGCCAAGGGCTTATAGATTGCCGCAGGCGCGTGGCGAGCGCCCGAGCTCCAGGATGGGCGAGTAGACGCTATAACCCGTTAAAAGGGCCCTTTAAACAGGGCCTATAGTAGCCCATCCTGGTTCTTGGGGGGTGTAGCACAACGTGGCTGGTCATCGCAGCGGCAGCATTAAGGACTGTTCGTATAAGCGGACCATCCCAAGTCATGAACTGGTTTATACAAAAGGGGGTCGTCTTGGAGCGCTCTTGGAGTGGTCTTGGGACTTGGAGCATCTACGCTGGCATCAGTTAGAGAGATGGCGAGCGAGAGCGAGCGAGCGAGAGAGAGAGGGAGAGAGAGGAGGAGAACAGAGAGAGAGAGAGAGAGAGAGAGCGAGTGAGAAACAAAAGAACAGGGAGAGAGAGAGAGATAGAGACAGAGAGAGATAGAGCGAGAGAGAGAGAGAGGGAGCTGCCAGGACTAGGCTGCTTGGGCTAGAGAAGTAAAGACGATTGCGGGTGCAACCGAGCCCGAAACCCTATGTAAACGGTAAGCCTTTAAATGTGGAATTATTGAATGACAAAGGTAAGACTCCAGCTCCCCCACCCCCCGCGCTGGGAATAGGAACCAACCTGAGCAGTGGCTCTGCACTCTCTGCACCGCGTGCATGCGAAGATGCTAAGAAAGCTCCGGCACAGATGGTCGGCCGAGGACGTCATAGAATGACGGCCTCGGCAGGACTGGGGAGATGTAGGACGCTTGGGGTCAACATGCACCTCAAGATTCGTCAGAGCCAGATTCTTGTGGATTTGGGGTGTAGGGCTGATAGGGCATTCACACCTTGATCATTGCCAAACAACTCGACCCTAGCCCTAAACCCTAAACCCTAAACCCTAAACCCTAAGCCCTAAACCCTAAGCCCTAAGCCTAAACCCTAAACCCTAAACCATTCCCAACCCAACCTTTTACGGCAAGTTGCTGCTGCCGACCTCCCGACTCCGTAGCTACCTGGACAGCCAGCGACCGCCGCGTAGCTGAGTCTAGCCAAGAGCCTCGCTTGACTTTCAAGGTTTAGGGTTTAGGCTTTAGGGTTTAGGGTTTTTGTTTGCCTAGGGCTCCCCTGATATACACCCACAATACTGCAATCCGTATGTGAAGGGGGAAACCCCAATAAAGGGGCTTATAGGCTGGCCCCCTAAGGAAAAAGCTGTTTGAAGGTGGGGGCCGAAATTCCCCTTGCTGAACCCTGAACCAACCCTTCCCTCAGACCTCTCTAACTGTCATCGGATTTTTCCGGGATCTGTCTGGTTTCTGAAGCCTCCCAGGTGTTGGTCGAGGATAGGAGGGGGTTGTGCTCATCACAGATAGGTAGTTCAGGAAGTTAGGCTTTTGGCGTTTCGGCTGCAACTCCGCAAACCCAGAGATCCTTTGGTTACAATCCCCCCCCCCAAACAAAGAGAGTTTGTCCATTCTTTGTTGTGTTGTGTCGGGTCTGGGACCTGCGACGCTTTCATGACACCCCGAAGATATGTTGGGCCGACTATGAGTGGGCACTACAAGAGAAGGCAAGTACTCTGCTTCTCGACGTCTAGAAGTCGTTTAAGGGTTTTAGGGCCGGACTTGAGGCCGGCATGCCCATGGACACTTACAGGCTCATGGCTTAGTGGTCTGGTGATGAACGGCACAAAGTCGGCAGCAAGATCCCCGCATTCGCGTACTCAGGTGTCTCCCTTATCTTGATGAGAATCGAAACGCCCTCTGATTGCAGCGAAGTCACCAACCAGGATGTGCAGCAAGAATGCAACCTTGGCTAAGGAGCTTTGGCTAAGGAGGCGTGACGGAATGATGGAACGAAATTTAAAGAATGACAGCTCTCAGCGATACCACACACCAAAAAGTGATAATCAAACCAGAAACCACGTGTCAATACCGACCCTCGCAGCAGCTGTCTTGATTTTCCTTTCACCCGTGGCGCCCAATATTGTGGTAAGAGTCCAGAATGTTTTTCTAGTCAACCAAGAACTCGTGAACGACATGAATACTCCTTGTGCATCAGATGCTCGGGGTTAAAGGACTCATGATGGACGCCTTAAGAAACGGTGATTTTGTATGCTTCGCTGTGCTCATGAGATGATTGTTAATACGGGTGACGACAACAATACGTTCCTGGACTTGCATCATATTTCCTTGCAATCCCAAGGGACCAAAAGGTTTTTGGATCATTTTCACCACGTAAAAGCATGGAACCACCCCTTGTAAGTAGGACCATGCTAGAAAGGAATGGCCGCAAGCCCCGAGTGAGCTCTCAAGATCTTTAGAAGCTTTAACAGTCCTGAAGACAGGGAGCCGCCGAGAGGACCAAGGTCACCGTCCCTACGGGATGGGACACCAGGTTCAGGACGTTGCCGTCGAGGCCACCATCCCTGGTCTTTAGAGGACCCTATAAGCCCCAAACTCCAGAACGTTTCAGGGCTCTGAGGGCTTTCCTTCAGGGGCCTGTGGGGCGAGGGGGGGGTGGGGTTTAGGGTTGAGGGTTCCCTGCATCTTGCTCGACGAGATGAGATGCTGAGCCTCGAAAGCCTTGAGGAGTGTGGGCCCTACCAGCCTTAACCTGCAACTCCTCTCAGGATAACGCGTGAGCCCTAAACACCCCGAAATCTCCTCTGGAGGCTATAGTATATTCGTGTCTCAGCTGGGTTGGTATAATGATTTCATGTCACTGTTCCATTTCTTCGTGCTGCCTGGTAGAATGCAAAGTAGCGCACAACTTTCGTGGGACAACACGGACAAGCAGGCAGCACATGCCAGCACCGCAAGGCTTTTCGAGCAGCTGCCGCCAGGGGGCTCGAAATCTGCATCGATGCCTCAGGGTTTAGGGTTTAGGGTTTAGGGTCCGCAGCACACCAATGATCTATCAGCTGAACGATCATCGTCTTCGGGCACTCAATCAGTACGGCAGCAACAATACCTTAAACCCTCTTCAAGGCCCCAATGCCGCGCCGGGGGCTCCAGAAACCGAAGTGTCGAAAAGAGACGCTGCGTCGTTGTGTTTGGGGTATAATTCTGCCGACCGGGGATGGGGGCCGGCTACCCCACTGGATGGTCCCCCTTCTACTATAGTACCCCTATTATAATCCCTATTAGTATAAGGGGGAACATCCGAACCCATACACGCCACCTAGGAAGATTTAAGCAGTCTCATGTCGTAGGACATGGGAAGACAGCAAGAGTCAAGAATGCACTCAGGTCCTGAGATTTAGCAGGGCGGAGATGAGGAAGGCTTCGCACATTGCTAGCCAGTTTGGGGTTTCGGGTTTCGGGTTTAGGGTTCTCCAGAAGCGAGCTTTAGGGTGCTTCTTCTGGAGGCCGATTGCTTCTCAACCTAGCAGCGTGTGCTACCCAAAACAACACGAGTTGTGCTGGCCAGCGGCGGTCTGTGATAGAGAAGGTTCGGAAACACATCTGGTTGGACAGGGTGAAGTCGGCGGCGAAGATCCACGACACCTGCACGCAGGGCAATGGACAGAACTCAACTCAACTTCCTACTAGCAACCTCCCCAACTCTGAACCCTCACATCCGGCACACAAACCCTCAAGATTCACCAGACACGGACCAAAAAGCGCAGAGTTCGGGACAAGAGGGAGGTTTTGGGTGTCGACTTTAGGATTGTTTGGTGGATGTTAATTACATGGAAGTAGCATGCAGGGTAGGCCTGTTACAAACGATTCCTTGCATGTAGCCCTGGCCCTGTCGCAGGCTTCGAACCCTGAGCCCTTCTGCAGCTTGGGGTTCGAAAGCAAAAGCACTATAGCCCCCCCCCCCCCGCCCCCCCGCAGCCGTGGAGATTTGAGTCTACAGCACAAACCCTCAATTCCTCAACGCTTACGAACCCTGAGGGGCACCAGGAGGAAGATGCCGGAGGAGAGAAGGATGGAAGCCCGGAGCAGACAGCTCATATCTCCCCAGCGTGTAAGCTCGGCCTCAGCCAACGCAATGGTCTAGGGTTTAGGGAATAGGTGGGGACTTCGGGGGCGTCTCAGGATTTGGGGTTTCGGGACTACCTGAAACCCCGACCCGCCATTTGCGGCTGGCTTTGTCCGTGCAACTGGTGGGGATGGTGAAAACCCAGGGAATCTGGCCTAGTGACAAATCTGACAGCTTGGCTGGACGACCCAGCATGGGCTATTAGGCCTTAAAATCCCCCGAACCAACCCTATAAAGGGCCTTTTGAGGGGTTATAGGGTAGAATCGCCCATGCAGGACATCTGGCTGCTGACCTCTTAGGTTCCGAGGGTTCCACCAGCTGAAGGTTGCCGGCTAGGCTTGGGACAATGTGCCGGTTGTGGCAACCCTAAACCCTAAACCCTAAACCCTAAACCCTAAACCCTAAACCCTAAACCCTAAACCCTAATCATGATGCCCTGCTTCGCAGGATGGCACCCACACATGAAGCATAATAGGCTCAATAACACCCAGCCCGACCCAAACCTAAACCCCGGACCTTTTCACTTTCACCCGCAGCCGACTACACTTGTAATCCTTGGGTGCAGGGGACGGATTGTGGTGCAATCTCACTCCATGGGAAGCTGCGAGGTTACGGGATAGGGCAAGTATTTGAACATTGTACAACATCATTCAGGCTTGAGTCAAAGTACAAGCCTAAACATCTGGACCTGGGGGCGATGTAGCAGCCTGAGCCCCCAAAATGGAATACGGCCTACCGCTCACTGCAGTTTAGGTGTGGTGTTAGGGCTCTTGGTTGTCAGGTTGGATTTCGGGTTTAGGCCTGATCTGCAGCTTACGGTATTTCGTCCTTCTGGCCAAGCCACATACTTCCTAGTGTAGGCCTCCTCTTTCTTGGTGAGTTCCGCGACCTGCGCTGTCCCCAGTGTCGGGTGCTGCGTGCAGAGGCCGATGGAACACCAAGTTGCTGGTTGCTGACCCAACTTCGGCGACTCTTAGATCTCCTAGTTCCCACAAGGATCACAGGGAGTGTACTTTGGAGACTTCTGAAGAGCCAAGCGCTCAAAATGAACCCAGCGTGACGGGACTGAACGAAAGAGTGCCAGCACCCCTCAACAAGCCCAAAAGTCCACAATAGGACTGTTCTGCCCCAGCCGATGCAATGTAGGGGGACCACCCCTCAGCCCTAACCTTCAAAGGGCTTCGGGTTTAGGGTTTCGGGTACAGGGCTGAGGGCTTCCTAATCGCTGGACTGCTCCCAGGCCACTTTGTCATGCTCTGGCCGGTGTTTGGACAGCTCTTGATAGTGATCCTCCGCCGTCTTCATTATTCCTCAGAGGGTGAAGGGGTTAGGGTTTTAGGTTTGGGGCTGTACTCCTTCTTTTCCTTGTATGCCTTCTGTTCGTTGCTGCTGTGAGGACTGTTTTTGTTCGTTTCGCGAGCCTTCTTGTTCTCACGTCTGCTTCCCTGCACTTGCTTCGTTGCGTGCCTGTGACCTTCGTGTGGCTTCCTCTGCCTTCCTGTTGCCGGCAGACATCGCTTGCAACAACTAGGGCCGCAAGTGGGGCAAATTCTGCAGTGTGGTTCTTAGAAAATCAAGGATGATCGTACATATTGGGCAGAGGGGCAGGTGCAATGGGCAGCCCGGTTTACGAAAAAACCATACTCTCATGTGCCATCCTTGTCACTTCATCCCAAGTACTCTAAGGCTGCATCTTGGGCTTAGGGGCGATCCGGGACTTCGATGGAGGTTTGGGATGTGGAGTAGTTTAGGGTGGGGCTGCGGGATTCTAACAAAAGCCGCCTGGATGGGTTCTGACTTACAAAGAGCCTGCACCTTGTTCAGGCCGGGGTGCTGTAGGACACGTATAAGGTTGCTGCGGCCTGGATCACGGCCGCGCCCGCCGTGACATACTGTGTGATGTTCTGATCCGCCTGATTTAAGGTTTGGGTCTACGGCTGAGGGAGCAACCTATACTCCCTCAACAGGAAAGGAAATGTACTCTCAATATGAACATCATTTCATTGAATTCTTAAGGTAGTTTCATGGTCCCTTAGTATGGGCCCTCAAAAGGGTACACCTGATATACCCCTTAAACTGGTACATATTCATTCTCCCAGACTATAGCATGTTGCCACCCAAACTGTCAAGAATACAGCCCCTCCCGGCCCTCTTATGATTCAGGTTAGCGCCCACATGCTCGTGTAGGAGTTTTGGGTTGTTGACAGCGAGAGGGGGGGGGGGGGGGGGGCGGTTAAGGTGTTCAGGCCTCCGGGGTTAGCTTGGCCCCGCACACGTCTTGAGGGCTTAGGTGTAGGGTTTAGCCAAATCCTACTGGCTGGCATGGGAAATACAGCCAGGCAAGGTGCAATTGGGCCTGGGGCTTTGGGAACGGATAGCTATCCACAGTAGAATGTTTAAACGCTGAAGTGCAATGACAGCTCTCATCGGATGTGCTACCAGTAAATGGCTGCAACCCTAAAATCCTTGAACTTACTGAGTCTCGTTTAGAACCACCAGTGGGGCCTGGTTTCGAACAACGCCCACATAGCTTTCTAAAGAGGTCTCAGCGGGCTGCCACAGCGTGTGGCATAACTGGCGAACTGTGATATGGAGCCTGCAGACGGCTCCCTCTTATCACACATCCGAACTTTTCTTCGCGAACAATCCCTCATGTCGATGGCAAGACCTCCCGGACGTTCTTTTTGGGTTTCAAGTTTGGGGTTTTTGGGGTGCGCTCCTGACTGCTATCGCTCTCTGAAGAGGCTGGAGATGATGCCACTAGCGCGCCGACACAGACCTGGACAGACTGTTTCGGAGGTCAGGGTCAGATTCGGGCTCAGGGGCGAGCAGCTCACGGTTTCTTGGGAACCAATGAAGGTTCTCTCTAGGAACGAGGTCAGAGGAGAGGGTGTCAGGGAGTACTCTGCCGTAACAGCTCCACACAAAATCACAATATAAACTTGGCAGTGACCTTCCCATTGCCAGCACCTTCAAAAACCAGTAGACTCAGCAGACTCTTTAGCAAAGGTGGTGGTCAAGGTGGTTGACCAGCCTGTGGAACGATGCTGACCAGGATCACGGGCGTGGTTCCTGCACCAGGGACAGGTGGTGGGGGGATGCTTGTGCTACAAGCCACCCGTCTTTAAGGAATGGAACCAAACATGTTCAAAAGTCAAGGGGAAACCCTCAGCGACCCCCATGCGTGGCGAAGCCTCGGAATTCTCTCTCTGAAAGAAGCCCTTCGCAACCAACAAACTCTCAGCCTCAAATCCTGAACCTTTAACTCGACCTAGAACATATCGACCCTCGAACCCTAGAGGAGCCTTAGAGCGTAGGTTAGAACCCCAGCTCCCTGAACTTCAACCCCCGAGGCGCCCAAAAGCATCTGAGGAATGTTGAGCTTGAGAATGCCGCAGAGCACGCTGGTGGGGAAGTCGGGGCCGGCGACCTCAGCAAGGAAAGGGCTTATCGGGGTTTAGGGTTTAGGGTTTTTGTCGATCTGCACTGGATACGGCACTGCGTGCTAGCACGAGCACCGAGACAGTACAGAAAAGGGCTGCTGCAGCGTTCCTTACACGTTAGCATACACGCCACAGCAGTGCTTTCTGTAGGGTCTAGGGTTCAGGATTTAGGGTTTATAAGGGCTGGAAGGGCTATAAGGGTTTAGGGTTTTTCAATTCGAATGAAAGAAGACTTAGACTTGTGTCAGGTTCAAACTTGATTGAAGTAAAAACAGCAAGTTGAGGTCGAACTAGATAGCGAAACAAGTAGAACTGGATGATAACTGAAAAAAACGTGCAAACTAATTGAAAAGGAAACTATGACGAAGCCTGAAGAGCCTAAAGCTTCCAAGTCGTGGTGCGTTGCTTGTGTTCTTCGGGCGGTATTCGGATTTTGCAGCGCTACACAAGACTGTAGGGGTTCCGGGGTCTAGGGCCTGACAAAGGTGAAGTTGAGTGTCTAGGAAAGTCAGGCTGTTTTAGGGTACAGAGTAGTCCCTCGTGAGGCTGAGAAGCAAGTGTCGATAAAAATAGAGTAGGGAAATTTAGAGTCCCATCCGGGGTGCCTTTCCGAGTACCCAGGAAGGACCACACTGTAGAACCACCCTCGACAATCCTGACGCTTCATCTCAAGGCCATCTCCCTAAACCCTAAACCCTAAACCCTAAACCCTAGACCCTAAACCTTAAACCCTAAACCCTCAGCACAAACTCTTCCGGCTGGATGAGGCTTCAGGGCTTACAGTCTTACAGACGTTTAACTTGCCAAGAACTCAGCAACAAAACCCTACAAGGCCCTACAGGCACCATGCCATAAGCTGCCCCTAAACTATTAAATCCTAAACCTTGGACAGTTGCCTGCAACTATCTTTAAGTTGTCTTAAATTACTAAATCCTAAATCCTGAGCAGTAACCTACAACCTTGAGCTGAAAAAAGAGCCCGAGGCGCAAACCCCATACGTCCTTTACTCCAAGCCTGACACCGAAGCCCGAAGCACAAGCGCTGGACCTCGGGATGGTCTCCCTTATACTAACAGTCCTTAAAAGGGGATTCTGACAATCCTCAAGAGGGATTATAATAGGGGGTACTATAACCCCGAAATAAATAAATATATATATATATATATAAGGACTGTTAGTAGAAGGGGGAACATGCCAGCCTGCGCACCACGAAAAAAAAATTGACCCAGCCCAGGGCTTTCGTCCATGGGGCAAGGATGCAAACCTTCCCCGGGCTCAGTCCACGCCGGCTCCTGAGCTACGGAAGGGCTTAGGCTTGAAGGGTTTTAGACTTTAGAATGTATGTAGGGTTCAGATGGGTTCAGGCTCAGGAAGTGTGGGTTAGCAAAGGTTCATGGTTTCAAAAAACCCAAGATAGGAGAATGAAACTGCCTCGCACCTTGCATACTCCATGGAGCATTGGAGTACGAGGTCTGGCGTAGGGTGTAGACGGCGGGGTGTAATCATGCAACCCCAAGCCCTTTAGCCCTACAGCCGACATTACAACCGCTGCTCGATGTGGTAAGCCCTGCTGCCGGGCTTCAAGATCATCTCCATCGCCCTGGTGAAGACTCGATCCACGGCTACGAAGCGCTGGACGCGCACCGACTTCCCCACACAGTATCCGATCAAGTACTGACCTGCTGGGGTTTAAGGTTTGGGGCGTCGGGGCTGAAGACACTTGAAGTTGAAGTCGGGTTCTAGTGTGCGAGCTACTCACAGGGATCCGGTTTGTGGGTTTTGACTTTGGTGGGGAAGAGTCGTCGGCTCTCAAGGCTTCGAATACTCGGGCTTCGGGGCCCTTCGGATCGCCGAAGGGTTCTCTTACTTCGTATTTAGGGTTTACTGTCGTGAGATTTGGGGGCTCAGGTCCTACCATGGCCCCTGTTGATGGGCCATTGTCTCTTAGGCGTTTCCTAATACACTGGTCCTGAAACAAAGAGTCGCCGAACCCAAAGATACACCTTCAGTAACCAAGGTCGAACTTGCCATAAGCCTTATGGTTCAGGGTTGCGGGCTCAGGGCAAAGGTCCCCGCTGGGTTTCGGCAAAGGGCTTTGGGTTTAGGGGTTCAGGGTGTTTAGGGCTTCCAGCTGCACTTCCCATAACCCATGGGTTGAGGGTTTAGAACCATGGTCTGGGGGTTCACTTGGGGTTTGATGATGGGGGGGTCCTTCTTACCCATGACTGCAGGTGCAGGATTGGCAAAAGGAAAAAGAGCTTGTTAGTGTCTGGGCTTGAGCTCGCAATAGCTGAAGCTGCGGATACGAAGCCCGCAACCTCAAACCCTCAGACAGCCCGACATTTTCTGAAGCCTTTAGGGCGGCTTAGGGTTCAGGCGCGCACCCTCAGGCACTCTACATCTTGCCGAAAAAAACCCAATCCTAAGGTTGGGTCCAGACCAGCACAGGGTCATGGCGCTCGACCCCCCTTGATCAGACTCTTAGAGGGCAGGGCTACCGCTGCCGCGGCCTGTGCACGCCAGCATCTTCGCCACGGAGCTCAGGAGGATGCCGATGCCAATCGCTCTCCACAAGTCTTGGCTGCCTGTCTGAGCCTGCTCAGTGATGGGCCCGGGGGAGGTCTCGTTTAGGAGGGCCTACAATGGAGAGATCAACCCGACCCCGAATTGAACCTCTCCAGGCCCCCTCCGGAACTCGGGTGGGCCCATTCGCCCTGACAGCAGAACACCTTTCAGAACACTGTGGCTCTGGACAAGATTTTAGTATGACGGACTTGGGGTGAAGGGTTTTTGGGTTTAAGGGGGTCTCTGAAAACCGAGGAGAGGGCTTTAAGAACACGATTCCTATTGAGAGAAGACATGCCCCGCTCACTGAAAGGGTTGAGCAGCTATAAGCCCTTAATAACCCTCAACCCCAAAACCCTAAACCCCTATACACCCTAGATTGGAACGTTCCCCTTTATCATAAGTGTCCCTAATAGGGACTATAAACGGGGGTACTATAATCCACATGAAGCCGTTCGTATAAGGGGGAACATCCCACATAGACACCCCTAAGCCCTGTATCTCCTAGGATTTGCAGGGCTGAGAGTTCCGTGCCAAGGTCGACCTGAGAGCCTCTACACATACAAGCATGGGAATGGGAAGGTTCCACAATGGGGGGGGGGTTTGGGTAGGGTTCCCTGTAGCCAGGATTGTCGCGTTTGAACGCCAACGTAGGGGTTGGTGTGCTTGCTTTTTGGGTTCACTTTGGTAGACTAAGCCTCAGATGCCCTAAGCCCTAAGCCCCGTGGCTCGGTGGCTCGGCACCGCGAACCATTGGATGCGGGCTCTGCATGGGAAAGCACCCCTCCCCCCCAAAAAAAACCCTAAACCTTAAAGAGAAGTTGGAGCCGTCAACGCTGGCGGGCCTGGTATCCCAGCACGATGCCGGCAAAGATGTAGACGGCAGTTCCTGCGACATTAGTGTCGGATGGTTCCTACCTCCAGGATGGGCTATCAGGCCCTTTAAAGGGAGTTATAGGGTAGAATAGGCCATCCTGGTTCTTCACAATAAGCAACTTGCAATTTCTCCGAACTCACAATCCTCTGGTCTCAGCATTAGCGCTTCCGAGGCCATCCGAAAGTCTGATTTGGGGCTTACGGTGTAGCACTTCAGCACTACAAAGGGGGGGGAGGGGGCTTGGTACAAGTTCTGTTTTGTCCTAGGGGCACCCGGAAAAATCATCAGGACTGCTGCACCCGAAGCACAAGCAAGCCGTTAGCTCTCTTCGTGAACTTGTGGGAAATTCAGGTCGTCCGATTCCGCTGCTTATGTGTGTCCCAAGCGCACTAGACCCAAAAGACAAAAAGCAAGAAGCCAAATGTCCTGGGACGATTGGCATCATGAACATGCTCAAGCCTCAGAGGCCGAACGTACGCTGTCCCTGCAAGAAGTCAAAAATAGCGAGGCCTGTTTTATGTGCAGAACCCTTCTGCCCTTCAGCGAGTGAGGAGTTTGAGGGCTTTGGCCCCGTGGAGGGACTCCGGGCCAAGTCTGGGTCATAGAAGGGCTCATGCTCTCCGTGAGCCGGGTAACCGATGGCAAAGACCAAGATGCTCAGGGAAGTGATGTCCAGATTCCATGCGATAAGCTGCACATTGAGCCACGAGAAGAAGACGTAGGTGACCTGGGGCGTTGGCATTCCGGGAACGCCGCCCGTCGGGAAAGTCTCATGTTCAACTGAACCCTATAAACCCTAAACCCTAAACCCTAAACCCTGAACCCTAAACCCTAAACCCTAAACCCCAAACGCTAAACCCAAGCTTCCTGCAGACCAAGAGGCCTTCATCCCTACGAGCAGCAGGATAAACAAGGCGCAGAACGCATTCAGCTTTCGTAGGACACTGGTCCAGTTCCAGGTGTGAAGTTCATCCACCTCTTTCTTGGCTTATGACTTCTTCAACCCATTTTTAGGGGCTGATAAAATTGGAACCCTGTATGAGGTTCAGAGATTCGTAGGTGCGGGGGTAGGGTTTAGGATTTAGGGTTTAGGGTTGCATCTTGAGATTCGTCGTAAGGAGTTCCAGAGCTTCGGGGATAGCAAAGGCAAACCAATGTCCATGTAACATTACGCCGGAGACCCCGGAAGGCCCTGAAAACCTCTTACTTAAGGTAGGAGCCCTACTTGTAGGGTTCCTTGCCGGGGAGTTTGCATACCCAAACCCCAAGGTTGTATTCGCCAGCCTTGCCTTCGCATATTAGGCTTAGGGTTTAGGGTTTAGGGTTGAGGGTTTGGGGTTTAGGGATAGGGTTTGGGGTTTAGGGATCATAGGGTTCAGGGTTTACGGTAACCCTCAGCTTTCGTCCCCGGAAAGTCCCACCAGCGGGCGAACGGCCCCTGTGAATCGGTCCGCGCTGGCCGACTGATCAGGTGACATGAACCCTCTCCGGACCCACTGTCTGATCATGTCCAGCCTTGGGTTTAGGGTTTAGGGTTTAGGGTTTAGGGTTTAGGGTTTAGGGTTTAGGGTTTAGGGTTTAGGGTTTAGGGTTTAGGGTTTAGGGTTTAGGGTTTAGGGTTTAGGGCCGGTTTAGGGTTTAAATTAAGGCTTTAAGAGTTTAGGGTTTAGGGTTTAGCAGGCCTGTAGGTGCAGCAGTGACTTTTGAAAACATAGCAGCTCTAGGGTTTAGGGTTTAGGGTGCTCTCAGAGCAACCAAGCGGCCCCAGCAGAATTGGAATCAAGATGCCTGCAAAGCCGACAGAGAATGCTCTGACCCAATCGTTCCTCGCTAGTTGGAGAACGTTCCGGTAAAATTGGCTCTGGTGGACCACCTTCCACAGCAGAGTACTGTCGGTCTCCAAGTAAACAAATCCCAGGGCCGTCCCACTCCCTAGCATGGCACACAACACCAAAGATCGAGCGATGCTTATCCTGGTAAAGAGCATCGTTGCCGTTGCGTAAAAGGCCGCAAGTATGCAGACCGACATGAGAATGAAGCGTCTCAGCAGCGAGCCCATCGATCTCGCAGCCTTTGTCTCATCTGGTGTCAACCTCATTCCATGCAACAAAGCGGATGCTAGCGGGGGCTTCTTACTTCTTGTGGACAGAGGAGGCAGGCCGCAAGCATCTGCTATACGGAGAGAGCAGGCTGGCAGGCTGCGGACATACCCGAAGAAGCCTTTCTAGACCCTCCATCCAAGGAAACAAACACGATCTGCAGGAGAGGTCTGACTTTCCCATGCATGTCGCGTGATAAACATCGACACCAAACAGGATATGTGAGGCGTGGGGGGGGAGGGGGGGTGCTCCGAAATATGGGCTATCGGATGAGTGTTGCAATATAGTGAGAGAGTCTACATAGCCCGCCTTTAATTGCCCAAGATGGGGCCTGCCAAATGAGGGCACAGGAGATGCTCCAGCTACGGGCCATTGTCTTATGCTTAGCTGTGCAGTTCTTCTTGAAGTTATTCATTCCCCTAAGCCGTAAACCCTGAATTAAAGTGTAAACCCAAGAGACTAAACTCACTAAACCCTATACAACCAACCTTAAATTCTAAACCCTTCAGGCACAGGACGCGGAGGTCTCATTGTGGGACACCTGTGTCCTGGTAGAAGGATCCGTCCGAGCGAACACCGTGTAACAAATGGCCTAACTCGCATTCCATGGGGGGATGCTTTGAGGATGCTACTCTGCATGACACTTGCATAGCTACTCTAGAAACATGCCGACAAGTCCTTTCTTGACGTTTGCCACATAGGGCCTTCTTGAGAACCAACTAAAGAAAGCTGCTGATGGCATGCCGGGTCGCCGATATTGCATTGATCAAGGGCACAGCAAAAGGGGTGGACCACTGCGCATACCACACGGTCTCGGCCGCAGAGCACGCCCGCATCGCATCCTCCTGTCTTTCCTTGCTAAGGCCCAGGGAGCTGAACTCCGCGAAGCATTGCGTGTAGTGGAAAGCAAAATCCAAGTTTTTGAAGGTATGAGCATAGACCCCTGGATAGAAGCTCGCCAATTTGATTTGTGTCTCGGTGTGCTGTATCGCCCCAATCTCATACCGCCAAGCAGCACAGGCGACAGAACTTAGGCCAGTACAGATTCCGAAGCTCAGCGCTCCCGCGGCGAAGAAGTCCCGTGCAGGGATCCCGCTGAAAAGCTTGCAGCGCAAGTATGCAAGCACAACGAAGGAGATCTCCAAGATAAACAACAAGACTAGGGACGGTATCGTTATCATATTTATGGTTGTTGCACCCAGCAGCAGAATCACCGACAAAAAGCCGAAAAGGGTCTGTACCGATGTCGGTGCTCTTGGAATGTCGAGCACAAAGCACATAATGGGGAACAGTCCTGCCAGTCGGTTCACGAGGATCGCAAGGGGCCTAAACGAATCTCTCAACAAACAAGCATCTAAAGCCCCAAAGGCCCCCGAGAGGGGCCTAAGCTCCGCAACCCTGAACCCTAAACCCTAAACCGTAAACCCTAAACCCTAAACCCTAAACCCTAAAGCCTAAAGCCTAAAGCCTAAAGCCTAAAGCCTACACCCTCCAAGATCCTGCCAGAACCAGGGACAAGATGGCAGCCCATCCGGGTATGTCCGTGACGACCACATGTACGAGATCAGGTCCCAGGCCGGCTGGGGAGTAGCCGCCTATGGCCTTAATTAACAGGGTTTAGGGTTTAGGGTTAAATTAGGGCTCAGGCTTCAGGGGCTTGCTTAGGGCTCTTAGGGATGTTTAGGATTTTGCTTCAGGGCTTGTGAGGTCTAAGGAGTTAGGGCGCGAAAGGCTTGAGGCTTGGGGCGCTTCAAGGACTCAGGGCTTCAGGCTTGGGAATGCTCAGGGCGTAGGGTATAGAGTGTAGGTAGGGGGTTCGGGGCTCAGGGCAGCTGCATCCATCATGCCCCAAACCAATAACTAATGACTATGAAACCGTCCACCCCAGGCCAGTCAACCCTGCCCAAACCCTGAACTCTCTTGCAGGAGATGTGCCCCGAGTTCCAGCAATCGTTTCACATGTCCACAGGTTCTATTTGCCTGCGATTTCAGTGCCCTCTAGGCGATACGATTCCCTGTCCTGTCCTGGAGCCTGTTGGACCTAATTTAGAACCTGCCCAGGTCTGGCTCTTGAGGGTGAGCCCCCAGACCCTCAAGCTGCGAAAAACAAGCTTAAGGTTTAAGGATTAAGGCAGATGGAAACCCTGTAACTAGGGGCTAGGCAGTGATAGAAACTGTCCATTTCGAGAGCTTCATGTGTTTTGAACAGTACAGGAAATCCTCTGCCCAGGGCGCAAGTGCATCTGGGATTGCAACAGCCAGAAGCGTAGTAATCACCAACACCTCATAGATCATCTGGTGAAACGTATGGACATGACCCCGTCTGAATCGGAGCCGAAATGCCAACCGGAGCCTGCGGTGTGCACATGCACGCCTTTAAGGGGTGCCACACAGGCTGTGCAGGGTCTTGCATTGGGTTCCTGCAGCATCCTTTGAAAACCAGCCAAAAAAACTAAACTCTAAACCCCAAGTCCTTATCGGCACCTCCAAACACAAATACACTCGCCTTACAGTCATACTGCTAGCTAGACACAAGCTTGCATGACCCCATCATTCTTGTACTCAAAGAACGATTAGAAGCTCGCTATCCCCATCACGAGTGCTGTCACAACCACTTCTTGCTCGGTTGCTATTGCGATATGCAGCGGCTCCTAACGCTGTTACTCTTAAACTCTTCAACTTTCTCTCTATAGCACTGGTACTTCCTACCTCCTACGACTACTACTAATGCTGCTACTGCTGCTGCTACTACTGCTACTACTGCTACTACTGCTACTACTGCTACTACTGCTACTACTGCTACTGCTACTACTACTACTACTACTACTACTACTACTACTACTACTACTACTACTACTACTACTACTACTACTACTACTACTACTACTACTACTACTACTACTACTACTACTACTACTACTACTACTACTACTACTACTACTACTACTACTACTACTACTACTACTACTACTACTACTACTACTACTACTACTACTACTACTACTACTACTACTACTACTACTACTACTACTACTACTACTACTCCTGCTGCTGCTGCTGCTGCTGCTGCTGCTGCTGCTGCTGCTGCTGCTGCTGCTGCTACCCCTACGACTACAGACTACCGACTACCGACTACCGACGACGGCTACTACCAAAATGATGACGACGACGACGACTACGACTAGAACTACAACAAAACTAATGACAATCACGGCTTTGACTATTGTTGTCAGCCTTGTTGCCGGATCTCTCTATGACTTCACGTTACTAGCTACTGCTATTCCCTTCGTCTTCAATTGAACCACGAAAAAACGACAAACCCAAAATGCCTCCCCACTATCGGCTTCCGACCCCAACCGAAAATGTCGAGGCTGCCACGGCTCCTTTCTCAAATGAAAAGAGACCTGCGTCAAAAGCGGGGGTCCAAACCCAGTAACCTTTAACCCTAGACCTAAGTTTCTCCTGTTTGTAGTAGCACCTACCACAATAAGGTTCCGGTTCCCCTGAGCCATAATTGTTCTACTCTATGGACAAGCATACCAACCATACGACAACTTGAGCTGCGGTTTCCGAGCTTGGGGCTTCAGATCTCATGGGGTCTAATCAACCGTTGCTCAGTAACATCTCAGCCCATGAGTGACATCGGGAGACCTAGACATTCTGTGCTTCGCCGTCAAGACCGAGTATGTTTTAGGGGGGGGGGGGGGGGCGTACTCGTGTCTACGATCCCAGTAATCTAGGAGCCGCCGTCCTAGACTGGCACCCAGTCGAAAGCTATCGAAGGCCCCTGGCCCTAAGTCCCGAGACACAAAACTCCCGGGGACACAAGACACAAAAGCCCCGAACCCCCCCCCTCCCCCAACCCCCCCCCCCCCCCCGCCCCCCCCCCCCCCCGCCCCCCCCCCCCCCCCGCCCCCCCCCCCCCCCCCCCCCCCCCCCCCCCCCCCGCCCCCCCCCCCCCCCCGCGCCCCCCCCCCCCGCCCACCCCCCCCCCCCCCCACCCCCCCTCCGCCCCCCAAAAACACAAAAAACAAAACAAATAAAATACGAAGAAGTAAGTTCCTGAGACCGGCGTTCGAGAACCTCCAACCTACAACCGCGAAGCACGAGACGGTTTTGGGTGCATGAACCAAGCCTAGGGAGGTTAAGGGTGTTGGCACTCTTGAGTTCTCCTCAGGGCTTTACGGTTCAAATGCCCTAAGAACCTTGAACCCATCAATCCCAAACTCAAGCCCCCTGAAGCAGCCGCAAACCCCCAAACGGGCCTGCTCTGTCGTCCAGCCGAGCCGCATGTTGCACCACTGCTTACCGGCTTCCAAGCCTAGGTGCAAGATGCCTTTGGGAATATGAGGTTTAGACCCTAAACCCTAAACCCTAAACCCTGAACCCTAAACCTCGGGGTTAGTGCAGCCTAGGGTTTTGGGCTTGTAGGGCTTCAGGGTTTAGGCAGAAGCCTGTGGGAATCAGGGGTTTTTAGTAGGGCTTGAAGGCTTCAGAGGGTTAGAAACAAGGCTGATAAAACCCTAAACCCTAAATCCTAAATTCTAGGTTCAGAGTTTACAGAGTTGAGGGTTAGGCACCCGGTTGGGCTTGGTCATATTTGCAGGGTTTAGGGATGTCGAACCTGCAGGTGTACTGGGGCGGCTAGGAAGTTTGGGGAGGCTGCCCTGCCCGCACCGGAGGCATGTGAAGAACCTCTTGCCTTGCGGCTAGTCTGGTGAGTTGAGAGTTTCAGGGGCTACGTGGATTCGGGCGTATGGAAAGATGTTTCGGGCTCAAGGATGCTAACCAGGGCCCAACACTAGCAGTCACTAGCACCCAGACCCCTTGCCGGTGAATTTGCCCCTCCTGCCACGGACGATTTGTCAAAGCTGCGAACAGGCAGGAACACTCCAGAAACATTGTGATGTTCCCCCTTATACCTACTTAACAGCCAATAATGAGATTTTCGTAATGATCTCTATTAAGGACTGTTAGCATAAGGGGGCTCATCTCAACATAAACACTTGAACATGCGACAGGCCCGAAAGATCTAAAGAATCCAAGGCCTCACAAAGATCTAAACCTGTTCGAATAGCTTGACCGCAAGAACGCCAAACCTTTCTTGATGCGCACTTGCTCTAGAGCCCGCTTGAAGGATCCTTTCTGCATGGCTGCTGCAACCTTACTCAAACCCAGGTCTTCCCTTGAAATCATTACGGCTGTATGTCGCCCTGTGGCCCGCACGCTTACTGCCAAGCTGTAGGAGCTCGATCCATGGAAACGGCTCCACCGGATAGGGGACAGCCTGGGTTTCTTGGCAGTTCCGATTCAGGGTTCGGTGTCCAAGAGACGAACCCTACAAGCCCCTGGCAGCCTACCCTGTTCCTGACTATATCTGGACTCATATGCAATGAGCACAAACACTCTCGGTTTGGCCTGTCCTGAATTTCAAGAGCTTCATTGCGCTAACTAGCTTCGTAGGATCTTATGTATGTGTATATATACACACACACTTTGTTTGAGATCTTCACTTAGTACCTGAGTTCTGCAGGCTAACAAGAACACGGGGCTCTTGTTACCATCACTCGGTTCTTAAAACACGCAAGTCTGTAACTATACTACATGAGATGCTACGCGATATGTTGCAAGGGAGTGTCAATGTCGGTCGGGTGCATTCTTCTAAAGTCTTCTCAAGTCTGAAGGTTTCTGACTGGCTAACAACAACAAAGCTGTGTTGTTGACTTGATGAATCAAAACCCGGAGATACTTAGCATACCTGACATGACATACGGGCGGTCAACGTGAATGTCGGAGTGGGAAATAAACACCTGAAAAGAAACGGCACATACCCATGCCACAAACAAATGAGTATATGTATCTTTGCACATGCAGATTTGTATAGATGTAGGTAGGGGAAGTACAGCTTTGTCGCGGCCGAACAACGTGATTCTGTGGCTCACGGCTAGTTTCTCCCCAAATTAAGCCGTAGAGGCGGAAAGCCTGAACCCTAAACTCAAAGCCCAAAACCCTACAAGTCCTGATCAGCTTCCATTTTCACTTAGGTTCGCCTGGAACACTACTCCTCTCTGAGCCCCCAGCCCGCGCGTCTGCGGCGATCTTCCTTGGCAGCTACGTCACGGTCTGCGGGTTCGGAACTTTACTTGACCAGGATGGCGCTTAAAACCCTCTGAAACATGATCCTGAAAAGGATCCGGTTAACCCAAATACGCGAAAATATAAAATGTGCCAAGGGCCTACCTAGTTGAACATGTGTTGCAACTCGGGCTGTCGTGAACTGCTTACCTGGGATGCTCCCCGAAGCTTCCACCGGCAACAGCTGTGTGAAGTGTGCAAAGATGAGAAACAACAAAGAACAAGAAGCTTTGCACATGGGCTAGTTGCTCAGGGCTCAGAGGTTAACCAGGCAAGTGTTCCTCAAAGGTATGGACGAGCTCACCCTTACCTCTGTGCTGCTTTGATGTGGCAGTGCTAGAAGTACCAACGAAGCATCCGAAAAAACCTGCGCTCTGAAGTCCTTAGAATTGCCTCGGGCCTCTACACAAACACCAGGTTCAACCGAATGTCGCCTGAAGAGCTTGCAGGGATAGAGTCCAAATACAGAGTTCAATCCAGTTCCGCTTCCAAACACCCTCCTTGCTCTCCCTCTCCCCCTCCCTCTCCAGCCCCATGAGCTGCGCGCTTCACAGCCTCGTCATCCAAGCCATGCTCGTCCAACCAGGCCTTGAAGGATTCAGCTCAGGGCTCCTGGCTTCGTGGGGGCCTGAATGCTGTACGCCTTTCTCAACCCTTGGAGACTGCCTCCGATGCAGAGGGGCTAGAGACCTGGCGCCCGTTCTCATGTCATAAGAACCCTCAGATGTTTTTCGAAAGCTCCAAGCCGGTCTAGTCGGCTCAAACCCTCGAATGCGGTCTCAAAGGAGCACTAGCATCCTCTGAGCTCGGCCCGCTGCCACTGTCTCTTCCAGGGCGTCCTCCTGGCAAGGCATACAAAAGACCGCGCAGGCCTTCGTGAAGAGTCTGAACAATCACCCCTAAAGCCTAAAGCCTAAACCCTAAACCCTATTAAAGCACCTTGCAGCTGAAGGTGTCGGGGTCTCAGGGCCAGGAGTTTTGCAAGACCGGCACCCCGGTCAGGACATTGTTCCAGGTTGGCTTGGGGGGGCTTGGAAGGTTTAGGAGCGGCTCGAGGGTTTATAGGGTAAGCGGTGGGGTAAGGGAGTCAGACCCCCACCCCTTGTAGTTCTGCGTGGCGAACAACTCAACAAGCTGAAACTATACCCTAAACCCAAACCCTAAACCCTAAACCCTGAACTCTAACAACCATGTACCATATGGACCCCAAGAACCAGTCTTGCGAAGCTACCAAGAGCGTGCACAAGACAAGTGCATGGGTCGAAACTTCAGAGTCATCATATGCCGAAAATGCCCTGAACGCACTACAGTTAAGCCAATGCGTGGCCACTGCTCCAAGGTGCTGCCCCTGTTGAAATCTAAGGGGCCATAAGGGACCTACACTTCTAAGAGAACTAACCCATATGGTTGAGGGTTTACATCATGTTTACAGCATGCACTGCAAAGACCCAGTCTCAGCCCAAAAAACGTGACGGAGGGCCCCCTGGTACAGCAGGAATGGCCTAAGAGACGAATGGTAGCAGGGAGCCGTAAACACACTATCCATGGTCAGCTGCAACAGGTTCTGCAAGGCATCTCGTGTTTTTGACACAGATGTCGAGGCCCATGATGCCGAACTGCTTAAAACCTTGACATTGGAGGGTCTCACAACATGTCACCCCTTATGCGCCTGTTTGGGATTGGCTCCCGATAGCTCTACCCAACCAAGACCCCGAAACCATCGACGCCAGAAGCACCGACATCCCAAAACAACCCTAAACCTACTTTTACCCCCTGAAAACAATGCAGCCCTACAAGCCTGAAATTTCTTAGAAAAAAAACCCGAAAAGACCTAAAAACCCTAAAGGATCTTACAACCCCAAGAGACCTGGACCTGGGAGCCCTCTGAGAACCGGCCACGAAGTGGCAACAGGCCCCCGGCTTGTTCTGGATCGCCTCGGCCAGCGAAGCGCGGCCAAAGCCCGCGGCCCAATCCTCGTCAGTCGACCGATTTGACGAAGGGAGGTAACGACCGAGACCCTATGCCTTAAAACCGAAGCTTGAACAGGCTTGCACAGGAGAAGCATGCAACAACAAAACCACCTCCAACCCCATTCCAGGTGCAAGCTCTTGTGAGCGTCGATCTGGACATGTCAGTGTCCTGAAGACTGATCGGCTTTTTTTCTTTAGCACGCAGGGACCGTCTTGGCGCACATAAGAGAAAGCCGCACCTTTTAACACGGGGCCCCTACCTGAATGAACCCTATAGTCCCAAATCCTCAACACTCCACGGTCTGTCACAACCGAAACCGTCTCCAAGCATCCCAATGCCCGATGCAATCAGGCCATTTGCTGCACCCCAAGCCCATACAAACCTGAACTAGCCCTCAACTCTGACATTGCCAAACCATATTCCCAAAGCTTGCGCTCCAGAGGGGTTCTTGTCTACGAAGACCCCCCCAAACAATTGCCGAAATACAGGCCTAGCCCCAAATAGCCCTTCAGATGCCCCCGAACCCTGTCAGCCCCAAGCCTTACACCCTAAACCTTCCTCAAGAACTGAAAACCTGAACCCTAAACCCCACACCCTAAACCGTTAAACCCTAAACCCTAAACCCTAAACCCCAAACCCCAAACCCCAAACCCTAAACCCTAAACCCTAAGCCAACTGATGGACTCGTGAGCCCAGCCCGAGACCCGAAAGCCCACCGTCTCGCCCCTACAGCAGCCTCAAACCCCGGACCGACCAAACAAAAACACTTCAGGTTTAGGGTTTAGGGTTTAGGGTTTAGGGTTTAGGGTTTAGGGTTTAGGGCCTAGGGTTTCACTACCCCAGGTGCCTGGTTCCAGAGGAACTCCTCCAGCCACACCAGGCCCGACTTAAGATCCGCCAGATTGGCCTAGCGAGCTTTATTCTGTGATTTCCAGACTTCCTCAACCCTAACAAGAACCGTAAACGCCAGGACAGCCTTACGCCTGAATTGTCCTGAAAAAGCAACTAGACCCTCAAGAAGCATCAAAGAAGCCTAAACCTAAACCCTGAACCTTTGGCTTGTTTTGTTTTCATTTTCCTGGGCTTGCGTCGGGTGTTCATCCAGATTTTACACTTGCAGCAATTCCTGGTAGCCCAGCAACCATCTTATTATAAGGGCACCCTTTTTTGGGTTGGTTATTTTATCAGGGGAACCAGAACCAAAAAAAGGGTAAAGGGCTACCAAGAATTGCAGTGCCCTTTTTGGAGACTCTTCGTGGGGGGGGGGGGGGGGGGGCGTGCTTTCGCGCGGTATCTCCCGGCCTTCCGTTCCCTTTGTGTTCACCACAGAACCTACAGAGCCCTGAAATCCATGTACAGGGTTTAGGGTTTAGGGTTTGGGGTTTGGGGTTTAGGGTTTAGGGACCTAACCCCAAGCATGGGAGTCCGGACTGCTTTGCTGAGGGCCGTGCCGCCAACAGCTGAGGGTCTTTCCGAACCGCCTCGGCCTTACAACTGAACTGGGAAAAGCCAAGGAACAGGAAAGGCAAGAAATTAAATTTACGAAAATAAGGAACCCCAAATACAGACCCCCCAATAGTAGGATCCCCTTGTAATAAGGACCCCCAATAAGGTACCCCTGTTATCGTAAACCACCCCAAAATGAAAGTTGCAGGATTTCAAAGCGCCTGGTCAGGAGCAGGGGTGAGGAGCAGCTGGGAAGATCAGCAGGGCTCAGTTCTGTAGGGTTTAGGGTTTAGGGTTTAGGGTTTAGGGTTTAGGGTTTAGGGTTTAGGGTTTGGGGTAGTTCAAGGGTTCAGATGCTTGATGTAACTTCGCAGCGACGACGCCGTCTGTGACTGACAAAACCCTGCGACCAAATATAGGGGTCGGAATAATTCCTCTATGGTTCCTCTGTACTTATACTATGAATACCCCCCCCCCCCCCCCCCAAAAAAAAAAAAAAAAAAAAAACTGTTTAAAATCTTATGGCCCCTATAGTTCACCGTTTACGTGTTACTCGAGCATGGGAGTTTGCACTTGAATTCCGCAGCTACACGCAACACCACGAAAACAACACACCTGCACAAATGTACTGAATACAGAAAAGGAATGCCTAAACCCCAACTAAACCCTAAACCCTCGATCCTAAACCCCAAACCCTTATTTTCTTGAGTATCAGCGTCATGCCGACGATTGCGGGCAACTGCGGCCTTTGGCATGGAACCGAACAGCCGAACCTGCCGAACCCGAAACAGCGAAGGCAAGCTCCACCATCTGAACCTTGTGATATTCTGCCGTATACTGACTGTCCTTGATAGGGATTATGGTAGTTACGCCCCCCCCCCCCCCCCCCCCTATAATGTCTCCTAGGGTCAGTAGAAGGGGGATCATCCCAATCTGACAACCATCCCTCCCACCAGCAGAGCGCCACACCCAGGGCTCTCTATGAGGATGCAGCTCCTTTGGATACAAGCAGCTCAAGGGAACCTATGCAGGAACGGGGTCATACAGCGAAGAGGTCTAGGGATCTCGGAAGACGCTATTCCTGGGCTTCGAAGGCTGAGTTGAAGTAATCCTTGGAGCAGCTAGAACCAGCTGCTCCCAAGACTCCCTTCTTCATTCCCTACTCTCTCCAGCCCGACACTTCCCCCTAGGCTGGCACCCGAACACCTGACTTACTGGTGCCCTACAGAAGGAAGCAAGAGGAGTATGGCAGTGATTGTCTTCCAAGCCCCCCATGAAGGGAAAAATGACCAGCTCACACGCCCCCCCCCCCCCCCCCCCTAAGATGGTCTCAGATGAGACCTGTGTAGACCCACCACCCTTGAGCCGAACTGTTCGGGGTTTTGGGCTCAGGGCTTCGGGGTTTCGGGGTAACCCCTCAGGGCTTATGGTGCATACAGCGTAATTTGAGGGCCTCAAAATGGAGCTCAACCTCAGAACCCTCTGAACAATCCTACACAAGATATGTGAAATCACAACACAAACATTAAGGGCGTACCGAGTATCACAGATGCGCAGCCATACATGTTTTCAGCTGACTCTGTGGGACGGGCTCGCAGTTTTTGTTGTCTACACTGCATGCTTTACCCTTTGTAACGTGTGCAAAAGGCTCCTCCTGCAGGAATTCAAGCTTCGCTTGGAGATCTGGCACCGGCACCTTCGTACAGGCTGTGTGTCTTAAGGTCTAAGTATTTTTATTTTATTTGTTACTCTTTTTTTCTTGGGGGGGGGGGGGATTGTGGTTTATAGGGTTTGCAGTTGACAGGGTTGAGAGCTTCCATAGATAAGTAGGGCTTAGGGTCACGAGATGTGCATGCAGAGGATATTGCAGGACCATGCCTGCTCGTTGTTGTGGGAGCAGTACTCCCAAGAAGTGAACAGCCATCTGCATATCTATATATATATATATATAGTATTATATAGTTATACCATACCACAAAACATGCAATATGTGTATATGTACATATGGTGCTGCTACATCATCATCATCATCATCATCATCATCATCATCATCATCATCATCATCATCGTCATCGTCATCGTCATCGTCATCATCATCATTATCATCATCATCATTGGTATTAGTATTAGTATTGGTACGATTAGGATTGCCATGACTAGTAAGTTATTCTGCTTACAATTGTTATAGAATTGTTTGCGCTACGTTATGTAATTATGTACATATGTGTGTGTGTATGTATGCGTGTATGCATGTATACATATAAACATAACTATCTATATCTATATACAAGTCGAATTTCAAACGAGCCTTCTTCAGCTCCGGGCACTGCCTCAAGACCTCCTTGCAAAGGCAAAGCAATGTGTGGGTGGTTTTCGGCGACCTTTTCAAACATGCACATTGTAACATATCATGTTATCTTATGTTGCATTATCCTATATTACGATCCTTTTCCTGATATCTGGTTATCCTGCACTAGAAATTATGTTTAGGGTGCGGGCGCAGGATGGCGTAAGGAGATAATTCCGGCCAAAACGGCCGGGCTCTCTGCCAGGTCGCGGGTAGAAGGCACGTGGGCTCAAATTTTTTCGGTTGACTTTGAGCTGTCAGGGCTTCCCTCAACCCGATGAGCTCATGCATAGGGGTTTGGGGCCCAGACCCTTTTTTCGGGGGGGGGGGGGGTAATTCCAAAAAACACATAGGAGTCTACGAAGATACCACGAAGAAAGGAACCTCGAGGTCTGAGTAGGGTTGAGCTGCCTGGCCCTTACTAGGGGTCATGGCTCAGGATTGAGGCTGCGAGTTCCAAGAGAAGCACCTGCTGAACGCTTTAACCTCACCATAGAATGAAGCCCTAAACCCCCACCGCTGACACCCAAGACCCTAGAAACCGCTGACCCTGGCGATTGTTCACTCCACACACACCAGAACCGCGAAGTCTTATAACCCTAAACTTCAAGCCCCAAATCCCAAGAGCCTACAGCTTGAAAAGTCCTGCGCTTCAAGACCCAGCACACTCTCCAAGAAGTCGCCTGTGTCCTGGGCCGCGCACCATCCCAACTCTTGGAAGCAGGCTTTGAGAGTTTAGATATAGGGTTGTGGGGCCAAGGGTCTGGGTTCAGGGTTGATCGTTGTACTATACGCCGAGGTTCCTGTTCCTGTTCCCCATGAATCCCACTCACACAGTTAACAACTGTGGCCGGGTTTTCATTCTATCAATTAGGCTGTTCTCCTCGGAAACGCACCTGCAGTTCCCCTAAACCCTGAACCCGAAACCCTAAACAGGCATTTATTTTTAATTTTTATTTTTTTGGAGGGGGGGGGGTTCCCTTTAAGAAGGGGATTCTATTCTATTTGGGGTATAGACGGGGTACCCCTACTATTTTGGGAAACACCCAAATAGGTGTGAAGAATCAAGTTTCGGGCCCATCTCTCTTGTCTCAGAGATATCCAACCTCGGGTCTTCGAGCTTGAGAAAGGCGCAGGGGATTTCAACCCTAAACCCCAAACCCTAAACCCTAAACTCTAAACCCCCTAAACCTAAAGTTTTAACTAGTGCCCTGGAGACCTAAGACTCTGAAGCTCCGGCCCCGAAGTTTCCCAAAGTCCTAAAACCCTGGCCTGGCAAGCCTGGCAAGCCCAAACCCTAAACCCAAACCCTAAACCCTGAACCCTGAACCCTAACCCCTAAACACTAAACCCTAAGCCCTAAGCCCTAAGCCCGAAGCCCGAAGCCCGAAGCCCTAAGCCCGAAGCCCTAAGCCCTAAGCCCTAAGCCCCAAGCCCGAAGCCCGAAGCCCGAAGCCCCCGGTGTGGGCACCTTCGCAACTCGCGTGCCATTCGTAGCGGCTGATGGCTTAGGAGCCCTGGGAGTCCTTGTAGCCTTCGGCACGAAAAAGGCTGTTGTGTACGCAGGACCTATCGGGTTTGGGGTTTAGGGCTTTTAGGGTTTAAGTTTAGGGTTTAGGGTTTAGGGTTTAGGGTTTAGGGTTTAGGGTTTAGGGTTTAGGGTTTAGGGTTTAGGGTTTAGGGTCCCCCCGCACACACCAGGTACCCCTCGAGATGGCACGGGTGGACCTTGATCTCGCTCCCGCGATTCTTGAGAACCTATATGTACTCCACAAACAAAAGCGCCTTTCCCTCCTGAATCGCTCCCAAAGTAGCGTCGGGGTTGAAGTTGCAGGGGTTCGGGCTTAGGGTTTTAGCTCGACGGTACGCTCCTCCCCTCTCTCGCAGGGAAGGAAACCGAGCTGCGGTACAAGGAGGGCTGTAGAGGAGGGAGAGTGCTGTAGGCAAAAGACTCACCAAGCATTGACGAGCAGTCCAACCCAACTATACACGAATTTCCTGAACTACCGTAGCTGAAGACCGATGGAAGAGGACGATACTACAACCCTAAATCCCGATTCCTAACTGCTTTGACCAGCAGGAAAGAATGCGCGACCCTAAACCCCAAACATTAAACCCGAAACCCTAAAAGGCATGGCTCAGCATGCCTTCCTCGCAACAGGCTTCTTCGGAGCCTCTTCGACCACCTGTCAACGGGTACCAGACGCATCCGGAATCTCAAAGGCATGAAGGAATACCACTCCGTGCAGACGTGTTAAGCTTCTCTTGCGTACTTCAGAAATCAGCACACCACATCGTTGGTTCCTTGACACGGTTCAGGCTGAGATGTCCTTTCTCTAACTCTCAGTTTGGACCCAACCCCAGCCTCATCAGACAGCAGAGCAGCAGCAGGAGCAGGAGCAGGAGCAGGAGCAGGAGCAGGAGCAGGAGCAGGAGCAGGAGCAGGAGCAGGAGCAGGAGCAGGAGCAGGAGCAGGAGCAGGAGCAGGAGCAGGAGCAGGAGCAGGAGCAGGAGGAGTTGTGATGGTGGTGGTGGTGGTGGTGGTGGTGGTGGTGGTGGTGGTGGTGTAGCGCGAAATGGGGTCATCCAACGGCACACTGGCAACCATGGAAATCATTGCACACTGTTTGAGCAATACCCCCTGAACCAAGAAAAATGAAGGCAGAGAATCCCAAACCTTGCGCCCGACCCCGGACAGTCACGTGCTCGAACGCCGATGCGAAGATGGCAGGGAGTACATGAGAAAGAGCACGCCTCATCTTCTTCGTCCAGGTCTGGCTCGTCTGCAGGCTCCTGCTTCGACACGACTTGCTCTTGGACTGCCTCGTCATCTTCTGTCAGCAGCTGCGGGTCCTCGCTCGGAACCTTCGGTTCTGCGGCATCCTGCTCAGCTATGGCCTGCTGCTCGGCATAAGCCTGCTCTAGCAGCGCTTCCTCATCATCTTCGTCGATCCACGCCTCTTCGTCTTCGTCTAGTTCTGGCTCTTCAACTGCAGGCTGCTGCTCGGCAACGACTTGCTCTGGCAGTGCTTCGTCATCGCCTTCCTCTGGCAACAACTGCGGGTCCTCGCTCGGAACCTTCGGTTCTGCGGCAGCCTCATCAGCCATAGCCTGCTGCTCGGCGTAGGCCTGCTCTAGAAGCGCTTCCTCGTCATCTTCGTCGATCCACGCCTCTTCGTCTTCGTCTAGTTCTGGCTCTTCGTCTGCAGGCTGCTGCTCGGCAACCACTTGCTCTGGCAGTGCTTCGTCATCGCCTTCCTCTGGCAACTCTGAAACCTGTCACAGGGAATACACCATCCTTGGCTAAGGAAGGTTTAGCGGGTTGGGGCTGTCTGAGCTACGAAAGGTCGAGGATATGTTAAGGAGTCTCGCACCCCCCTGGTATGGCCCCGAAAGTGACAGAAGCAAGCACCAGGGAGAAGACAAACACCATGCTAAACGATCAACCCGAGACAGTTTCTCATAAGACCAGAGATTCCGAACCCCGAAAAGAACGTTGGCACACAACAACTCAATAGCACACATAGACACAAGCACGAAGCACGCACAAAAACACCACACAATAAAACAGTAAGGTTCCGGCGTTAATAGCGACCCCCGATGTCGGCAGAACGAAATCACCACCAACACCCGAAAACCTCAAATAGAAGTCTGAACGCCGGAAAGCAGCGCGCCAAAACAGCGGCGTCACTAATGACACCGTAGGCAAAAGGCAAACACATCAATAAACAATCATGCACGCGCCCACGCTGAGAAAGAATCTCACACACAGACACACAGACAAGCCTACAGAAAGACATCAGACAAACACACCACAAACCAGAGCAGTCTGCCAGAACCCTACTCATACCAAGAAACCACTAAACTAAACTCCCCTATTTCCTATAATTCCGACAATCCGTTCCTTTAGTCCTTACAAAGGCCCTGCAGTAAGCCTGTAGTCCCTTTAATCCCTACAGGGTGAAGGGTGAACTGTTGCCTCCTGCACGGGCTCATCCCCGTCAACCACGAACTCTGCACCCTGCGTCCGTTGGCAGCTCGGGAGCTCAGGCTTGCCAGGACTTCTTGTGGATTAGTCTAGGGTTTAGGGTTCAGGGTTTAGGGTTTAGGTTGTAGGGTCGTAGGGTTTTGGGTTTAGGTTCGGGCTTCGCCAGAAGAACAGACAGAAAGGATGGATTGCAGATTCTGAAAGAGTAGAAATGTATTTCCATATTCATATTAAATAAATATATATATATATATACATATATGTTAGTATAGTTATGTTGCTATTCATGTGCATATATCAGGACCAGAAAAGGGTGACAAAAAGAGTTAGCAACCCTGAAGCACCGGCGGCGATATGTAAACACATACGTACATATGTGCATGTCAAAGACATCTACCTTGAAGACTATCTTAAAACGAATGTGCCTCTGAGCGATCTTCGTTGGGGCTGTGATCTGCGACATGGTTGTGCGGTGGTCATCGAAGCAAGCCCACAAAACAGACTCTGCAGCAGTAAATAACTAAATGAAAAATGATCAAAACGACCACAAAAACCAACTAAGTGACTCTATATATATATATATATAACATATGTATACATTGACGTATAGACATATGTATATATGTACGTATATGCATATATACATAGCATCTGCGTAGGTCATGGTTTGCACCTACAGTCTACTTTGACAAAGAGATATGGATTGAGACTTGTATGTAGAAATACAAATGTAAATCCAACACAAGTATTCGTGTGCATACGTATATTTATATGTATATACATATGTATATATATATATATATGTATATGTGTGTGTGTGTGTGTGCAGAAAACGTAATTATAAATATGTATGCACAGATGTTAAGGTATACACTTCCTGTGACCGAACCCAAATCATGTTTGAATCCGGAACTCATCGCTCGATTGAAGAAATACTAAACCCTATAAACCCCAGAAACCCTACAAACCCCAAAAGTCCTGTATAACCCCCTACACACCCTGCACACTCCAAAACCCTAAAACTCCTCCCTAAACACTAGACCCTAAACCCTAAAACCTAAGCCCCAAGCCCTAAGCCCTAAATTAAGCCCTCGGCCTCTGGGAGAGTCCAGGATGTCTCCTGGGTGACCTCGCTCATGCACCCAAGCAAGCCCTCAACCACTGTGATATCGACGTTTGCAAAAACATCAAGTTTGTGTGTGTGGGTTTAGGGTTTAGGGTTCAGGGTTAGGGGTGTATATACATATATATATATATATACTCACACGTATTTGCGGTTTAGGGTTTAGGCCTTAAGGTCTTATATGGGCAGGTCTCTAAACTAGAATCGTTTTTGGGTGCCCGGTTTAGTACAGTACCTCCCAAAAAGGGGCCTATGAAAAGCCAGAAATCCTGAATCCTGTCATGCTTGCCGCAGTTGACCTAATTTAGAGAACTACCCAAGAGTCTTCCAAAGCCCTTCATCAAACGCTTCTAAATCATTTTCTGCCGCTGCCGTACCTAAGACCTAACCCTCGACTTAAAGGCTACGGCCATCACAACACAAACAAGCCAAGAACTGTTAGAGCGCAGGGCTTCCGCAACTATCAGCGGCATCCGAAAACTGCCCAGACACAGCTAAGAACATTCACCCCCCCGCCCTCCCCTCCCCACAGATTGCAGCCCATGCCTCCAAGATTTCACGCTCAGCACACTTCTTAAGAGAACCCCCCCCTCCCCCCCGCCCACCCAACCAAATTCCCGTGCCTCATTGTAGTAGTAGACCTTCCCATCTGGCCTGAGGCACTGAAATCTTATAAACGCCAGGTCAGAGCCTTGAACTTTCAGGCAATTCGTCCATGAAGATCAGGATATCTCTTGCTCCTGGTCACTCTCTGCCCTCAAAGCCTTGCGAACACCGTAATCCTCTTGACCTCATACCCTGAGCCCATGAAAACATGAAATTCCAGCATTGTTGACAGGTTCGATGTTGTAGTCGGCATCAGGAAAGCCAAGCATCCGCTGCACTCTGATCACATGCTACCCTCACTGCACTGATTCCACTTGCACAGGAAGACAATCCCAAACACGAAATCCTGATGACGAAGAGCAAGCTCCCGTCTGCTTACGGAACACGACCGTAGGTACCTTGAAATGGGGGCTCGATATCTTGTAGCGTCATTTGCATAAAGCTGCAAGCTCTAGTGCCTTGCAGCAAGCAGTTGCAGTTCTAAGGTGAGTCCCTACAGCTTTCTCTCACACGAACCGCAGACCCGGAACCCTAAACCCTAAACCCTAAAACCTAATCTCATTTGAGCCGTCGGCCCAGCAGTCCCTCGCCAGCGGCCTGCAGCAGAGATGGATCGAAAACCAAAGAACCCTGGAGCCTGGACTCAAGGCCAAGGTTTCGGTCGCTTGCAATTCGCGTTCTCGACCCCCCCCCCCCCCCTCGCCCTCTCCCCACAGCCTAAATCCTGAACCCGAGACCTCGGACGAACCATAGGGGGGGGGAGTGCCAGAAACCCATAGCCCCAAACCCTAACCCCACCATGACCCACGGGAACAGAGTGAAGACCCTCAACCCTTTATAAAGCCTAACCCTACATCAAGCCCAAAGCCTATCATGAACCATCCACAGACCATGAACCACAGGGGAGGGGGGGGACTCCCATATAGGGGATAAACAAGGAACCCTGTGTTTGTTTGATGCGGTAAAAAAAACCAGGGAACCCCCCATTCTCCAACCAAAAGCAATGGACAAGGGTATTCACTCGGGGTCAGAGGAATTTGGCTTTGGTTTTGCGGGGGATAAGGCGTCGTGGCTATTGAGATTTTGGGGTGTAGAGTTCGTGCTACGCCTCGCCTCCAGAGGACTTCGCAGACTGCAATTGGGCATCCTGCAGGGAGGATTTTGTGGTTTAGGGCTGCAGGGATCAGGGTTTTGGGTCCAAACCCTGACAGCTTGCTGGTATTTTGAGAGTCCTGAACTTCGGTGATTGGGGATGCTGGATTCCGGGTGTGGCGATTGTCGTTGAAAGGGTTTCCCAGGCATTCTCAAAACCTCCACATGTGTGGGCTACAGCCTGTTAATGACAGCGTAAGGTTCCCAAGGAGCCGGCAAGAGGGACACAGCGTAAAAGGTAGACTTTTGGGGTTGAGGGAGGCTTGCGAGCCGGTGGAGGACGATTCTGGGAGAGAGTGACCTGTCAGCTGTAGGGTTTAGGGTTTAGGGTTTAGGGTTGCCTTCATAACCCACGTTTTGTTGATCTCAATCCGATCTTGAAGTCCTGCTGACTGAGAAGCCAGATCAGCATCCATAAGCCTTGCCTTAAGAACCCACAAGCTAGCTGCTAGCTTTTGTGTGTCCTCAAATTGCGATAAGGGTGCTCATACGAAGAGCACACACAAAAAGCAGGCTCTTGCTCTTTTCGGTAAACTGTGATCCAACCCACCTCGGGAAGTGTCCAGGAAGTCTCACCAGAATCCTGCGCAGGTATGGGCTTCACAGTCGTAGCGACCAAAGAATTTCTTCTCAGATGAATATACGTCCAGGGCGGAGGGCCTTACTCATCAGCCGTAGTGTTGATGACTCCTTGCTGTCCTACATGCCCCGCCCTTGTGAATCCTGAGCCCTTCAAAAAAACCCTAAAGTCGGCCCGACCTCATTGTAGTAGTACACTTGCCCCTCTGGCCTGGCTGCGGACATTCTCTGCTTGTGAAACAAGGAGCATCACCAGAGAATCCCTGGAGTGCCCAGCCCCAAGAGAGATCCCTGGAGCGGGAAAATCCCTCGGATTTAGGGTTTAGGGCTTGGGGCTTAGGGTTTAGGGTGCCTTCAGAGGCTAGCTTTCGCTCAGTGTACTACTGCCACGCGCATCCGGCTCGTCACGGAACCTAACTCATTTCCCGAACGTCTCGTGCTGCATTCTATCTACGATGATAAAGCCGAAAAAAACTAAGGCCATACGAGGTGCTCTGGTGCTTGGGCTTGTGAACTGGACGATGTGCTGCACAAACACAAGCATGGAGAACATGACTGCTGAAATCCTGAAAGATCAGCAATACGAGCTGACTGCAAGTGGATGCTGCGCATCCTATAAAGCCCGAAACCAAACTCCCCCAATGTCTAACGATCGAGGCAGAGAGACCCTGTCTGTGTCCACCAAAGAACCTAACACCCCCCCCTACCAGGATGGGCTATTAGGCCTTATAATCCCCAGAATCAACCCCACAAAGGGCCTTTTGAAGGGCTTCTAGGGTATTATAGCACATCCTGGTCCCCCCCCCCCCTCCTTCCCCTCTCCAAACCGCAAACTCCCCAAGAGTCCCAAGCCCGAAACGTCAAAACCTACACCCAGAATTCCTTCACAGTGTCCCCTCAAGACCCCGGCGAAGTGGCTTTCTGCCAAGATCCCCCTGCCATGGTGCGCGCTTGGCTTCAGCGCTCAGGGTTTTGTGGCTTTTTCGAGGGGGGGCTTATAGGGCTTCAGATTTTTGAGAGGCTTCTTTCGGGTCGTGGAGATTGGGCGTTTTTTCTTGAGGCCCGGCAACCCAAAGCTCTAGGCTACATGCAGGCTGTGGGCATTGGAGGATTCGGGTTGGGAGCAGAGGTCTTGTTGGGGGCTGAACCGCAATATGAACCCTAAACCCGGTGGACTTGTGGACTTCTGTTCGGTAGCTTCGGGGTGACCGGAAGCTTGGGGATGTGAATGGCTTAAGACTCCTGTACATTGCAGGCACCCACTTTATGTTCGGGGCGATGGCCTGAAAATAGTCCGGGCCCTGTTCGGGGGCGGGGGTGGGGGCATGCTAAGTCAAAACCCGAACATCAAACCGGAACACCCGCAGCCAAAAAACCTCAAAGGCTCAAAACCCAAAACCTCAAAACCTCGGAACACAAACAATCAGACAAGCCGACGATTTTAAGCAGCGAGACCCCCGGTTTCCCTCAGGCCTAGTGCAGGTGCGGATGGTGTGCTCGCCTGCATGGGCATGTGGCGGGTGGGATCATTGGTCAACAAAAATGGTCCTTTTTATGGTGTCTCCAGTTTTCTGCTAGGAGCTAAACTCAAATTGGCTTGTGCTGTTTTGAAAAACCCCATCAACCTATGAATAGGATTGAATATGTAGGGTGTTCGGATTGAGGAAGTCTAGTGTTTGGGTATAAGAACGTTTTGGAGCACGGGTAAGTCGACCACAAGCCCACTACTACTTTTGAGGGCGGCGCGAGAACAAGCTGAAGAAAAAATCCCCCTAAACCCTAGACGTGGGAATCCTTACAAAAAGAGAACCCTAGCCCTCCAAGAGAGCCCCTCAGAATTTTCATGGTTACTTAGAGCCCCTCAAAATTTTCATGGTTACTTCCCCCCCCCCCCCCCCAGACAAACCCCCCCCCTAGATTCCCCCCGTAAATAGCCTTGACTAATCTTAACTTGGCCCGAAATAGCCTTAATTATGGAGGGAGGGAGCCCAGGCAGGGTAGTACAGAGGGGGGTGGTCGGGGAACCCAGGAAATTTTGAGCCACACACATGATACTCGAATCCCAGACCTGCGGCCCGAGAAAAGCGCGTTGATCACACGTTTCATCGTTCCACTTGTCAACGTGTGCTGCTCTACTACCCGCCAAACCTGCACGCTGAAAGCTTTAAAGCCAGCATTCTCTTATCCTGAAACCTCAACTCGTGTAATTGGCCCAAGATTCCCCGAACTGCTTCTTGAGCCCTAAACCCCTAAACACCCCAAGCTCTAAACCGCAAGCACCCTAACAATCTGTTACAGATCCCTCATCAAACCTTGAACTGCTTGAAACCCGAAATTTACACCCTAAACCCTAAACCCTAAACCCTATAAGCCTAAACCCTAAACCCCTAAGCCCTGAACCCTATAACCCTGAACCCCCAACCGGAAGATTTGCCTGGGAGGGGGCATCCCAGGAGCTCTCACCGGTCTCCTGGGAAGCTGTGTGGGGCACTTTGGTCGAGCGGGGCTATGTGGGGGGGGGGGGGGGGGGGTGTGTGTGACCCTAGTTGCCTGAGGAGGTTTTTTCCACACCCTCGGTGTGGGGTTGTTAGATTTTTAACTCAACTCTTCTCCTCGCCCGAACTCTTCTCCTCGCCCGGTCTACTCCCATGTTCGAAGCAAAATAAGGCTTTTTCAACAGGTTTTACCTACTAAATAGGGGTACATACTTCTAAATCGCAGGTGCAGGGTTTTCAGGTCTAGGGTTCCAACTGGCACTCGTGGGCCTTGGGGCTTTAAGTTTCGGGGTGTCATCACCTTGCAACCTAGCAGCTGCTAACCGTCCTAAGGCCTTGAGGCCCGCGCAACGTGTCTCGGACTGCAGATTCGGGTTTAGGGTTTAGGGTTTGTTGCCCTTGATTTGTGGGTTCTCTCTTCTTCTTCTTCTTCTTCTTCTTCTTCTTCTTCTTCTTCTTCTTCTTCTTCTTCTTCTGCTGGGCTTAGGGACCCGAAGACCCCCTCAAGTGAAACTCCCGGGCGTGTGAGGGAGGTTTGTTTCCCCGACACCACAACCTCTCTTCTTCTTCTTCTTCTTCTTCTTCTTCTTCTTCTTCTTCTTCTGCAGGGCTTGAAGGACGCGCAAGCACGCCCTCCGCGCACGAGGCACGCCCGGTACAACCTCTCTCTCTCTCTCTCTCTCTCTCTCTCTCTCTCTCTCTCTCTCTGCAATCACACAGGCAACCAGTGAAATACAACCAACCTGCAGCACCTTCACAGCAACATCCCCAAAAAACCTGCAGCCCCCCTGAAACCTACAGCCGCAGCCCTAAAGCCCTATGTAAACTCTCTGTGACCCTCAGCCCGCAAACCTCCGAAACCCCATCATAACCGAAAAGCCGCTGCATACCCATGACTCCCACACCCATCCACCCCCAAACCCTAAACCCTAAACCCTAAACCCTAAACCCTAAACCCTAAACCCTAAACCCTAAACCCTAAACCCTAAACCCTAAACTTAAACCCTAAACCCTAAAACCTATAACCCTAAACTCTAAACCCTAAACCCTAAACCCTAGACCGTAAACCCTAAACCCTAAACCCTAAACCCTAAACCCTAAACCCTAAACCCTAAACCCTAAACCCTAAACCCTAAACCCTAAACCTAACTGGAGAAGTCTCTATTCGGGGAATCACAGGCGTTAGGATCTCCGGGTGGTCGTGTTTGCAACCTTACCATGCCCCGCACCTCGTTCCAGTAGTACCACTCCCCGGGTTTCTCAGGCACCTGTCTTGAGAGCAGGTTCCAGGGGATTAGGGTTTAGGGTTTAGGGTTTTAGGCTCCGGGGATTCTGAGCGCCTGCTTCAGTGTGACGGGATGACGCGTCACTAGAAACCGCTGCTACACGACAAACGGGACTGGAGCTTTCATGCTTAGGGGTGTCCCAATGCCCTGTACTCAGGCATGAATCCCTAAAGCTGCTAAGCAAAAAATGTTGCTGTTTTGTTAGGTTCGTTAACTACAGCAATCATCATCATCATCATCACCATCATCATCATCATCATCATTCAAGGTGAGGTGGCTACAACGTGAGGGCTAATTACAGTTTTGGGGTTCAGGGTTGGGTTTTGGCGTGTTGGGGCTTGGGGGGGTTTAGGCTTCAGGGTTTGCAAGGATCGTGTTTTGGGTACAAGCTGAGCGCGCCGGCCAAAACCTGCCACCTCAAAGCATAAAGCCCTACTGTACAGCCCCTTCAAAGGCAAGTGAAGCCTTTCACTACACTCAATACTCGAAACATCCGTGAAACGCTCACCAAATCCGACACTGGCCAGCAAAAGCAGATACTCCCGAGGTGTCTGTTCATTGTTTGAATCCGCTCACTCTGCCCTAGACCCATACAAAAGAACATTCTTATCCTCACAAGCAATATTGTAGGCTGAGGCCGCAGCAGGAAAACAAGTGAAGGAATGTTGAGGGAATCCCGAGCTTACCGTGTAGGAATGTTGGAAGTCTGCTGCTCCCAACATTGGGATGCAGACTCCAAACTTGATCGCAAACAAGAACCCTGAGCTCCACGAAGCTTCAGCTCGAAACCCTCAACATCGGAGACTCGCGCTGCAGTCTATTCATCACCAGGATGGGCTACTAGGCCTTATAATCCCCATCATCAACCCTATAAAGGGCCTCTTAAGGAGTAACAGGGTACAAATGGCCCGTACTGACATGCACCTCCATGAGCACCCAGGGCGCTGGAGGGTCGGCAGGCCTTGGATCAGCTTGGACTCTCACTTCTGCCCAAAGAACAGAACTCGATCAGATGCAGCCCCGGGGTGAGTCCGGGGCATCCACCTGCATGCATCTCAGAGATTACTGGACTCGCCTGCATCTTTGTTTTAACACTGCAAGGGACCACGGGGAGGACACTGCCTAAACAAAAAAGACAGCTTTCAAGCATTCTCTGCGTTCAGGTCACTTAGCTGCGCAGGCAACTATCCTCGAACGTTGTCTGCTCGGCCGGCATCGCAGTGCACTGGCAGGACAAAAGACCGACGAGGGGGTGTGGATGCAGGGAACGCAGGTTGCTTACATCTGCATGGATTTCACTGATGTAACTATTCAATGCAGTCAATGCATCAAGACACAACCTCAAGCCTAAAGCAGCCCACATACGAAAAACGCGTTGCAAAGGCGAAGTTTTGACAAACGTCTGCACGTGGTGGAAACCGACTGAAGGCTCCGAACATCCACTCAAGGTGAAGGTACGAGATTCCAGCATAGCCTCTCCCACACCCTTCGCAGCTCGCACCTGAGTGACGCGACGGCCAGTACAGTCGCACCTGGCAAAAGCGTGCAGGTTTAATTGTATTAAAGCAGGCCACCCCCTAACTCTCCCATGTTGTCTTGAATGGGCGAGGCTTCAAATCCCTGACATAAGCCTTAAGTCTAAATGCTTGAACCCTAAACCCTAAACCCTAAACTTTAAGCTTTAAGCTTTAAACCCTAAACCCTAAACCCTAAACCCTAACCCGAAACCCCTGGTTTGGTATGCAGGAGGCCTCGGCAACCTGATGGTGGCTGCGCTGCCCTTGCGGAGTGATGGCTGGGCCAGTGTCTTTCTGCACCTCTCAAGCGAGTTTAGGGTTTAGGGTTTAGGGGGGTTTAGGGTGTAGGGCTTCGGGGTGTGCATGTGGCTCTCTTGAATCGAGCGGACGGCGGGTGCTTTGGTCCTCTCCGCGCTTGCTTGGCTGTTGCTTTGCTGTTGGGATGTTCCCCCTTATACTAACAATCCTAAAAGAGGGATGATAAAACGGAGTGCTACAACCCCTAGTAAGGACTGTTAGGAAAAAGGGGGAACATCCCAACTTTGCTGTTTCAAGGGCTGCTGGTCTCAATCTGGTCTTTGTGGAGCCCCTGAAATTGAAATTAGCATCTGTGTTCGCTTTCAGGGTACGAAGGTTTAGCGTTCAAACCCTCAGGGGTGTACTTGGTTGTTGACCTTCTGACCTCAATTTGCTTCTCTGCCTACTTGTATGCGTGTCTATAGACATGAGGCAACCAGCCGACGGACTCCACAATGGTTTCCTGCGTCGCAGGGTCTGTGCACCGCACAAGACTCGAATCCTAACCCCTAGGCCTGTACAAACTTTAAGGTTCTGGACTTCAGGATGTGTGGCTGAAAGGGCCTGGACGCGTCGCAGCTGTCCGGGCGACAGGAGACACCTGCATTCTCCATGAGTTTGCTTTGTATATGGAGCTGAAGGAATGGAAGCCACAAACCCAAGAAGCTTGTCCACAAAAGTTAGCAATTCGACAGACGTAAATAAATTCAATCCCTCACCTCTATTGTATGTTGTACCTGTTGTACAACGTCGGTCATTCTATTCGACATACATAGGTCTCTCAGGCATGGTTCGTGGTCTGTAGACGAACCAGTGAACGAGCTTTTGCTTGACGCAGGGAAAAATTGGAAGCCCCACACCGAGATCTGCTCACCAGTGCCCTGGGCATCCCTAAACCCTAACACCCTACACCCACCCTACACCCTAAACCCTAAACCCTAAACCCTAAAACCTAAACCCTAAACCCTAAACCCTCAACCCTAACCCCAACAGACAAACTATGAGACGTTGGAGCGGGCACCTGACAATCTCTGTCCCTCTTGCTGCCGAGGAGCGGCGAAGGCAGAAACAGCAGCCATGGCGAATCAAAGGTGCCAACTGCTTGGCACGAAAACTGGAAGCCACACGCCCCTACAAGCTGTGGTGGGGCTGTGCCCTAGTCTGCAGAATAACTTCACCCTGGCGAAAGCATGGGGATGGGGTGGAGGGCGAAGAGCATCGGGCATGGCTGCAAAGTGCCTTGAATCATGGAGTGACAGGGCACCCTGTTGCGTCAGGACTCGGACGTTCTCTGATCTGTGCCTCTGAATATGTTCTGCCACGGCTGGTTCTCCCGAGCCAAGCTCCAGGGACAGACGTTTGCGGCGAAATAGCAAGTGGGCAGTTCCCAACATAGGGGTACCCTTTCTTGGGTGTCCGCTTATATGGGGTCCCCTATATTGTGAGAGAGGGCTTCCTTCTGAGAGACTAACCATATCCATGGCTGGCATTGGTGCTCGCCTCATGCTCTTGCAACGCTCGGATTTCGACAATCTGAACCTTTGGAATCAACAATGAACCCTAAACCCTAAGCCCTATGGAGATTGTTCTTGGCTTCTTGTCGAGCACCTTTGCCGTGATGGCTCAGCTGAGTCATAAGCAGAAACGACCCCCAAGTCAACCATCCTAAGACCCTCAATCGTACTCTCAACACAGACCTTGCGTGGTAGCTCCTGTCCAGAGCAGAACATTCGCCTCTTTTGGGATGCTTTCGGCCACAGCAATAGCAGTTCACAGGTAAACAATAGGCGCCACTTGTAGCGACAACTATGTTGGATAGTTATACATTGGATGATTACAGGGGCCTTAGGCAGCATACCTTTAGGGCTAAAAACCATTAAGATCCGGTAAGCGCTTTCAGGTATCCGTGCATTGGGCACCATACGCCGTAAACTGCGAGAAGGAACCAACAAACACTGAAAGGGCTGCCGCCGCAGACGAAACCCTAAACCCTACTTAGAGATTATATACTTACTTCTATGGGCTTAAATCCCCAAAGCCTCTAAACCCCTAAACCCTGAACCCTGAACCCTAAACCCAAACCAATTAAACCCCAAACTTGCGCCTCATACACCAGAAGGGCCAGGTCCCGCGCCTGGTCCACGGCTTTCGTGGTGTTTCGAGTGTCTCAGTGTTTAGGCAAAACTTTGGCGTTTGGGCAGCGTTTAGGGTCAATCCTTGCTAAGGATTGCTGTATAGGGCGGAGGATTGCTGTATAGGGCGGGAACATCCTAAGTTTAAGATTTAGGGCAGTTCCGGGCATCAATGAAGCATGACGAAGCCATACTCCGAACTCCTTCTCTGCATGTAGCAGGCTTCCCTGTTCCATCCTGCATGGCTTCCATGTGCTCGAAGCAGAACTCAAAGAGCTCATTGTAGAACTCAGACAAGCCAGCAGCAATTTGGGCTCAGGATTCAAGGTGTGCATGGCGTTGAGGGTGCAGGATAACATAGGATAACTCTGCTCGAAAGAGCCCTCTGCAATGTTGGACGCAGTTGAATTGGGTACCCTTCGTATTGGGCTACCTGAACTGTTTGGGTGTGCGTGGTGGGATCCGCAATTAAGTCAAATCGTCCGGGTGTGGTAAGAACATGTCGCGGCGAGCCTTGAAAATTAATTGCTGGGCCTCGTTGTCCCTTTTGACCTCATCTAAACTCTCCCTTTTGACATCGTGCAAGCCCCGTGGACCGCGTAAAGAGAGCCAAAACCAGCTTCCACTGTTTGGGGGGGGGGGGGGGGGGGGTGGGACACCCTAAAGCACGTCCAACATTAGCTGTCGAGAAAGCGAACCCCTAAGCCCGAGAAACCTAAACGGCCTCTTTTAGGGGAAGCAGAAATCCCTTCGTAAACCCTCACCTCCCACAATACAAAACCACAGCCTAAACCCTAACCTATCTCGTCTAGTAGAAGCCTAGACCGTAGACAGTAGCCCCTGAAGCCCCAAAACCTGACTCTGAGCGCGCGGCCAGCGAGCCCTGCCCAGTGGCGCGAATGATGCGGAGGACGTCGTGCAGCGCCTGTAGAGCTCGAGGGTCTAAGGATTTAGGGCCAAATTTAGGGAGGGCTTACGTAAGACTTGGGTTCAGAGCTTTTCGGCTTCTGGGTTCACAGGGTTTGATGGCTTTTTGCGCAAAGCCCGGAACCCGACATTTATTAACACTTGCCACAGCCTTTACCCTTCAGAAGCTTGAAACACAACAACCTTATGCATCTTAAACTTCAAATGAGTCTGTAGACTCAGGGTTTACCTCCATCTCCAAATATCCAAATGCCCCCTACTCATTTGGGGCCCATTGAACCCTAAACATCTCTAAGCCATAAACCCCGGATTGATGCTTTTGGGGGGGGGGCCTTACACCTTTGGAGGGCCTCCGGGCCGGGTCGCCCGCGCACGTGGAGAATTACCTGGGCGGCCCGTGCACCCTGCACGAAGGTGTAAGGTGCGTGGCTTGTGAGTTGTTCTTGGTTCTCCTGCATGCCCACCTGATCGGAAATGGCCACTGCTCGCAAAGTTCTATGTGCTTCCCAATGCTTCCTTGCAAGCTTGTACACCAAATGACGTGTTCGACACACACACACATACCCCAAACACCGCAAAGCCCAACCCCCAACCCCCAACCCTCAAAGCCTGAAGCCCCTGAAGCCCCTGAAGCCCTGAAGCCCTAAATTCGTGGCCCCCCGGCCGGAGACACCACGTCCCGCAAGGGAAGTCGAAGGCGGAGAGCCACAAAGGCTTCTGCCAAGTCTGCAATGTCCTGGCTTTCGCTCTCAGGTCTGGGCTTCAGGGTTTCGGGTTGCTTCAGGATTCGGGGCGCCCGATTCTTAAGGGAAAGCTTGAGAGAAAGCCCTACTGCCCCTCCACCCTGTGAGCCCTCTAACCCTAGAAACGCTAGAAACCCTATAAACCCCGTAAACCCTTCACGCCCTGTAAACACTGTAAACGCTATAAATCCTATGAATCCTATAAACTGTCTAAAACCTCTACACCCTGTAAACCCTGTAAACCCTATAAACCCTATAAACCCCGTAAACCCTATAAAGCCTATAAACCCTATAAAGCCTATAAACCCCATAAACCCTATAAACCTCATAAACCCCTAAACCCTGATGCCTAAACCCTATAAACCCTAAACCCTAAACCCTGAAGCCTAAACCCTCTAAACCCTAAACCCTAAACCCTAAACCCTAAATCCTAAACCCTAAACCCTAAACCCTAAACCCTAAACCCTAAACCCTAAACCCTAAGCCCCGAACCCGTGGGCCGCCTGGAGTTGGGCCTCCCTCGCGAGGCCGAGACTCCTTCCAACCTCGCTCGGGGCAGCTCGGGAGGTCGTCGGCGGATTTCGGGGCGTCGATGCTTCGTTTTCGGGTCAAGGGTTTAGGGTTCGGGTTTTCGGGTTCCGGGTTTTAGGTAGGGTTTTACAGGGCTTTAGAGGGTTCTCTGGTTTTGATGGTGGCTCTCGCGGGTCTCGGAGGTTTTTGTTCAGGGCTTATGGGGTTATTGGGTTATAGGGCTTGTTACGGTTTTTGGGACTTTGGGGATTAGCTGCTTCAGGAACAAAGCCGAGGATGCAGAGGCGCTCTGATACGGAGGCGACCTGACTAAGATCTAGACCCCTAATCAATAAACCCTAAACCCAGTCCGTACTGCAAACGGTTGATGTCACGCCAAAGCACAGGCTCTGTCGTGCTTATACCGCTTGTTTTGTTGAATAGGCCCTTATAAACAAAGAAGGGGAGCATTTATGCGAGCAACTATCCCAAAGCACAACTGCATGGCTGCTTGCTAACTCCAACCCTAAGCTGAACCTTCCGCTTGCTACTGATGCTACTGAGCTCAAGTCCATCAAACTCAGACCCACAGCCCCCACCTTCGCAGAATGTCTCGAAAGAAACACTGCTTCCGAGGGCACTTTTACCCCCAAACTCTGCCAATCGTAGGGCCTGTCGGGTTGTCGTTCCCTATGAGCCCTAAACCCGAAAACCTAAAAACCTCAGAACCTTGCGCGCAGTCTTTTTTGCGCCCTCAGAAAGGCTCGTGGCCGCTCTTCGGCCCAAGCCCAGCAAGGCGCTACTGAGCTGGAAGCCCCATATTCAGGGCCCATAGGGATAGGGTGGGGAATTATATGTATAGTAAAAGTGCATATTTTAATTATGTATATATATATATATATATATTATGTAACTCCAGACTATGTGGAGTGCAGAGTTTTGCGTTCACTGTGCCTCCGATTGTGGGTCCAGGGTGTGGGTCCGGGGTTGAAGTTGATGAGAAATTTTCTTGAACATACGGATCCCGCGTTGCTACTTCTCGGTCTGAGCTGGCAAATCCGTGGCTTGGCCATGAGATCAACACCGGAGCCTATGTACACACACATGCCACGTGGGCAGCTTTCCGGTTAACCAGGCCACCTCGAACTACCCGTTTAATGGTTTCCCAACGGCCTAGTTCGGGAACCCGAACCCTAAACCCTAAAACCCTAAACCCTAAACCCTGAACCCTGAAGCCTGAAGCCTAAGGCCCTAAACCCTTAACCCTAAACCCTAACCATCGAAAACAGCCCACCTGGCACACGTGACTAAATCGAAAGACGCTATGTCACCGCACTCTCTGCAGCTGTGGACGCCTGTATCTCCGAGAGCAGCAGCTGGTACGTCTCCTTCTCTTGCGGCTAGGTTTAGGGTTTAGGGTTTAGGGTTTAGGGTTTAGGGTTTAGGGTTTAGGGTTTAGGGTTTAGGGTTTAGGGTTTAGGGTTTAGGGTTTAGGGTTTGGGGTTTAGGGTTTAGGGTTTAGGGTTGAGGGTTCAGGGTTCAGGGTTTAGGGTGCATAAGCTTTACCATTCAGCGTGAGGGTTTGGGGGAAGGTCGGAGGGTCAAAACCAAGTCCTACAGTCGTACACCACCAAACCGAACCACAAGCAGTTGGCCGCAACTCTGCTGCGGAGAATGCCAAATCGCAAGCACCAAGCCCTGAACAGCATTCCCAACAAAGGCGAACAAGGACGCAAACACACACAGACACAGAGAGAGAGAGAGAGA